TGGAGTGTATAGTGTAGTATACTAGTACAGCACTAGTGTATAGTATAGTGTATAGTGTAGTGTATCGTGTAGTGTAGCGTGTAGTGTATAGTAGTGGAGTGTACAGTGTAGTGTATAGTGTAGTATACTAGTACAGCACTAGTGTATAGTGTAGTGTATCGTGTAGTGTATAGTGTAGTATACTAGTACAGCACTAGTGTATAGTGTAGTGTATAGTAGTGTAATGTATAGTGTAGTGTGTAGTGTATAGTGTAGTGTAGAGTGTAGTGTACAGTGTAGTGTATAGTGTAGTATTCTAGTACAGCACACCGGTTGTGTGTTGGAGAGCCAAGCCACAACATTTACAATTTGAGTACGACGTTTCGCTCCACCAGGCGACAGGCTGTCGCTACTGACGAATTGGCATGTTCTGTTCACGTGACACAACCCTTACTGATTGGCTGTGTTGGGTTAGTTGTTATTTTCGGCTCTCTGATTTAACATCAACAGGTAAAATTTCTCACACCAACATAGCCACCTCCGCCCTCGACGCGGAGGCCGCTCACCGATCTCACATTAACACGCTAGTCTCTCACATTAACATAGCCACCTCAACACGCTCGAAGTGGAGGCCGCTCTCCGATCTCACATTAACACGCTAATCTCTCACATTAACATAGCCACCTCCACCCTCGACACAGAGGCCGCTCACCGATCTCACATTAACATGCTAACCTCTCACATTAACATAGCCACCTCAACACGCTCGAAGTGGAGGCCGCTCACCGATCTCACATTAACACGCTAGTCTCTCACATTAACATAGCCACCTCAACACGCTCGAAGTGGAGGCCGCTCACTGATCTCACATTAACACGCTAAACTCTCACATTAACATAGCCACCTCAACACGCTCGAAGTGGAGGCCGCTCATCGATCTCACATTAACACGCTAATCTCTCACATTAACATAGCCACCTCCACACGCTCGAAGTGGAGGCCGCTCTCCGATCTCACATTAACATGCTAATCTCTCACATTAACATAGCCACCTCCACACGCTCGAAGTGGAGGCCGCTCTCCGATCTCACATTAACATCTTTAATTATTTACCTGGCAGCCCTCCAATTGGTGGACCACCACCAGCATTAACATAAGCTGCCCCGCACATACTGCTGACACTTGGGCTACGCCCATTTTAAAACCTTTATAAACAGTTTGCCGTGAGAGGCGAACTCCCTTTTCCTGATGACGGCCGCTTGTGTTGCGATCGAAACGTCGGAGATTTTTGTCATTTTTCTTTGAACTTTTCTACGTGATTCTTTGGTTCTTTCGGTAAAGTCACGTAGAATGAGAATAAAATAATAAATTGATAAAATAAAATAACACAATAATATTCTCACGACGTTTCGGCCACAACACAAGCGGCCTTCATCAGGTGAAGGGGGCGAGACTGTCTGGTAGGTGAAGGGGGCGAGACTGTCTGGTAGGACAGTCTCGCCCCCTTCACCTGATGAAGGCCGCTTGTGTTGTGGCCGAAACGTCGTGAGAATATTATTGTGTTATTTTATTTTATCAATTTATTATTTTATTCTCATTCTACGTGACTTTACCGAAAGAACCAAAGAAGATGAATCATTGCAGTCACGAAAGCTTTAAATCGAAATTTTCTACGTGACTTTACCGAAAGGCCCCTCGCCCCCCCCCCTCCCCTCTCCCCCCCCCCCCCCCCCCCCCCCCCCCCCGTCAGGAGGCGTCTCGCCGCGTGGGCCACGAGGAGGCCGCTGCCGCGTGCTCGCTGCAGGGAGCGGCGCTGCTCAGCGTGGAGTCCCCGTCGGAGCAGCGCCTCGTCGAGTCCCTGCTGGGGTCCCTCGCCGCCTCCTCGGGGCTCGCCGACGGCGACTTCTGGCTCGGCCTGAGGAGGGACCCCAGCCGAGGGGTCGCCGCCGCCGCCGGGGTCGCAGCCGCCGGCGGTGCCGCCGGCGGCGGCGATGCCGCCGCCGGGGGTGTTGCCGGCGGGGGTCACCACGCCACCCGGCGACCCCCCGCCGCTGGAGGATTGGGCCCGGAGGCCGCGGTCGGGGCAGCTGGGGGGCCGCAAGGCGGCGGCGGGGGTCCGGCGGCGTGCGCTGAGCTGTACGCGTGGAGCGACGGCAGCGGCTCCACGTTCCGGTGAGAGTCGGGCGAGGTGCTGGGGGGTTGTGGAGGGTTGTGGTGGTCTATTGGATAACACGGCCCTGGTGGGTGGACGAGTGGGTGGACGAGTGGGTCAATGAGTGGGTAAATGTGTGGGTGGGGGTGTGAATGATTGGGTGGGTGGGTCGGTGAATGAGTGGATGGGTGGGTGGGTAAGTGAGTGGGTGGGTGGGTGAGTGGGTGGCTGGGTGAGTGAGTGGGTGGATGGGTGGGTGAGTGGGTGGCTGAGTGAGTGGGTGGATGGCTGGGTGAGTGAGTGGCTGGGTGAGTGGCTGGGTGAGTGGCTGCGTGGGTGGCTGGGTGGGTGAGTGGCTGGGTGGGTGGCTGGGTGAGTGAGTGGCTGGGTGAGTGGCTGGGTGCTGCTACTCGCACACAGCACTTGCCCCAACAGTCTGTGAAGGCTACACGGGGGACCTTTGGTGGCGGTGAAGGCACAAAGACAAAGGCGCCCCTGTGGGTGAGGAGGGAGGGAGCGAGGGAGTCAAGTGGCGTGATAGCGATGTGCAGAGATACACACCACCACCATCACCATCACCACCATCACCACCACCACCACCATCACCACCACCATCACCATCACCCCCACCACCATCACCACTACCACCATCACCATCATCACCACCACCACCATCACCATCACCCCCACCACCATCACCATCACCCCCACCACCACCATCACCACCATCATCACCACCACCATCACCACCACCATCACCACCACCACCACCATCACCCCCACCACCATCACCCCCACCACCATCACCCCCACCACCACCACCACTACCATCACCATCACCACCACCACCACCATCACCCCCACCACCATCACCCCCACCACCATCACCCCCACCACCACCATCATCACCCCCACCACCACCACCATCACCCCCACCATCACCACCCCCACCACCACCACCCCCACCACCACCCCCACCACAACCACGATCCCAACCACCACCACCCCCACCACCACCCCCACCACCACCACCACCACCACCCCCACCACCACCCCCACCACCACGATCCCAACCACCACCACCCCCACTACCACCCCCACCACCCCCACCACGATCCCATCCACGACCCCAACCACCACCCCCAACACCACCAGCACCCCCACCACCACCACGACCCCAACCACCACCCCCAACACCACCCTCACCACCCCCACCGCCACCCTCACCGCCACCCCCACCACCACCACGACCCCCACCACCATCCCCACCACCACCCCCACGACCCCCACCACCACCCCCACCGCGGTTTACGTCGGGGGGGGGGGGGCGGGGGTGGGGGATGCGTTCCTGAAACGTCGTAAATTCGAAGACAATTTGCATAGCGAGCATTCAAGTGGAACTGAACAACTCAGCTATTTTTTTGTCGTCTATTATTTTAACCAGGTGTGAGGCCCCCGCCGAGTTGCTATGTATAGCTGCGGGTGGGGTTCTTGTTGTTGAGTTTTGTTTCCCAGAAGCGATCCAGGCCATCACGAATGACAGCTCAACAAATAGGGGATGGAGGGGGGGGGGTGACGGCTTTACCGTAATCGTCGCCGTCGGCGCGTGTAAATTTATGGCAGGCGGTCAGGTAAACTCGCTCGGCCAGACTTCGTGGCGATGCCGATTTTAAATGTGGAGAGGTGGAAACCCCAGAGGAGGACCCGGAGAAAAATCCACGCGACCACGGGGAGAGAAAGAGAGAGAGACACCGCAAACTCCAAATATACACAGAGACCCGCAGACTCACACAGAGACCCACAGACTCACATAGAGACCCGCAGACTCACACAGAGACCCACAGACTCACAGAGAGACCCACAGACTCACACAAAGACCCATAGACTCACACAGAGACCCGTAGACTCACACAGATACCCGTAGACTCACACAGAGACCCACAGACTCACACAGAGACCCATAGACTCACACAGAGACCCATAGACTCACACAGAGACCCGCAGACTCACACAGAGGCCCACAGACTCACACAGAGACCCACAGACTCACACAGAGACCCATAGACTCGCACAGATGCGTACTTAGAGGCCCATGGACTCAGTGTAGTGTGTGTAGTGTGTAGTGTAGTGTATAGTGTAGTGTATAGTGTAGTGTATATAGCATCTCAAAACGCCGTGTGATGTGGCTATCACCGCCTTGGTTCCACGTCCAACCATCGTTACCCCCGACCTCCGACACCCCCGTCGACCCCCGCGGCCCCCCCGGCCCCCCTAGGAACTGGTACCCGGACGAGCCGTCGTGTGGCGGCGAGGCCTGTGTCGTGATGTACTTCCAGCCGTCGGCTCCCGCGGGCTACGGGGGGCCCTACATGCACCGCTGGAACGACGACAGCTGCACAATGAAGAACAACTTCATCTGCAAGTTCCCGCCGCTCGGTGAGCACACACACACAGGGGAGAGGGACACACACACAGGGGAGAGGGACACACACACACACACTGAGAGGGACACACACACACACTGAGAGGGACACACACACACAGGCGCACGAGAGGGACACACACACAGGGGAGAGGGACACACACACACACAGGCGCACGAGAGGGACACACACACACACTGAGAGGGACACACACACACACACTGAGAGAGACACACACACAGGCGCACGAGAGGGACACACACACAGGGGAGAGGGACACACACACACACACAGGCGCACGAGAGGGACACACACACACACGGAGAGGGACACACACACACACACTGAGAGAGACACACACACACACTGAGAGAGACACACACACACACTGAGAGAGACACAAACACACACTGAGAGAGACACACACACAAACACACAGCTGAGAGGGACACACACACAGCCGAGAGGGACACACACACACACTGAGAGACACACACACACAGCTGAGAGGGACACACACACAGACACACTGAGAGAGACACACACACACGCTGAGAGAGACACACACACACTAAGAGACACACACACACCGAGAGGGACACACATACACGCACACCCACGCGCACGTATATTTATTTACGTGTAACAATAATTGACGCCTTTAAAGCACGTCTTTGTTGTTTTATGTTTTTCCACTGCTTGAACCGTGCCATTGCCCGTGCAATTGGCCCTCCTTCAGAGCACGTGATGCACACACACACAACAACAACAACCGCCATTCGCCACTAAGTGGCGGTGACGTCACCACGACGCTTAGTGCCAGGCCATGTGCACCTTGAGGCCACGTGAAGTGTCGAACGCCCGCGGGCAGGAGGTCACGGGGCAGACCCAGGTGCCACGGGTCGACTGACTGAGATGACTGGCTGATGCACCACCTGTGCCCCCTACTGTGTGAGCGTCGCTCCTCCGCCGTTGTTGGAGGGCGACTACCTCCAACAAAGACAAAGATCCCCCGTATAGCGTTAACAGACTGTAGGGGCAAGTGCTGTTAGCAATCACCTATGAAGGCCAGATCGGTAGACGAGGGGGTGGGTGGCCAGCACCACGCCCGACCGCCTTTGTCTCCCTAGTGGCAATGTTTACACACCGCACCAGGTACTCATTTGAGGCTGAGTGGACCTAGGGGAGGCCCGGGACCGGTTCAGATAATCGTCACTGGTGTTGGCCGTGAGCGGGAATCGAACCCGAGTCGCCAGGTTCATAGCGCAGCGCGCTAACCGCTACACTAACGCTCCCCACCACGCACACACACTCACACGCGGACACGCACGCAAACATACACGCACGTATATTTACGTGCGCTTCTAAAGCGCGTGTTTTTCCATTGCGGGAACCGTGCCCGTGGCACGTGCAGTTAGCCCTCGTTCACAGCACGTGATGAGCACGCGCACGCGCACACGCACGCATATTAATTTAAATGTAATAATAGTTGACGCTATTAAAGCGCGTTTCACCCAGAGGTCGCAAGGCGCTGCACGGATATAAAATCGAGCGAGTAAAATCACTTCAAGGCAAGTGGTGTGACAACGCTCACCAACACACACACAACCACACACTGCCAAAACACAGTCAATCATAGCACCGCTCTCCACACACACAACCACACACTGCCAAAACACAGTCAACCATAGCACCGCTCCCCCCTACACACACACAACCACACACTGCCAAAACACAGTCAACCATAGCACCGCTCCCCCCTACACTCACACAACCACACACTGCCAAAACACAGTCAACCATAGCACCGCTCCCCTACACACACACAACCACACACTGCCAAAACACAGTCAACCATAGGACCGCTCCCCTACACACACACACAACCACACACTGCCCAAACACAGTCAACCATAGCACCGCTCCCCCCTACACACACACAACCACACACTGCCAAAACACAGTCAACCATAGCACCGCTCCCCACACACACACAACCACACACTGCCAAAACACAGTCAACCATAGCACCGCTCCCCCCTACACACACACAACCACACACTGCCAAAACACAGTCAATCATAGCACCGCTCTCCACACACACAACCACACACTGCCAAAACACAGTCAACCATAGCACCGCTCCCCCCTACACACACACAACCACACACTGCCAAAACACAGTCAACCATAGCACCGCTCCCCCCTACACTCACACAACCACACACTGCCAAAACACAGTCAACCATAGCACCGCTCCCCTACACACACACAACCACACACTGCCAAAACACAGTCAACCATAGGACCGCTCCCCTACACACACACACAACCACACACTGCCCAAACACAGTCAACCATAGCACCGCTCCCCTACACACACACAACCACACACTGCCAAAACACAGTCAACCATAGCACCGCTCCCCACACACACACAACCACACACTGCCAAAACACAGTCAACCATAGCACCGCTCCCCACACACAACCACACACTGCCAAAACACAGTCAACCATAGCACTGCTCCCCACACACACACACAAACACACACTGCCAAAACACAGTCAACCATAGTACCGCTCCCCTATACACACACAACCACACACTGCCAAAACACAGTCAACCATAGTACCGCTCCCCTATACACACACAACGACACACTGCCAAAACACAGTCAACCATAGTACCGCTCCCCTATACACACACAACCACACACTGCCAAAACACAGTCAACCATAGCACCACTCCCCACACACACACAACCACACACTGCCAAAATACAGTCAACCAAAGCACCGCTCCCCAACCCACACACACAACCACACACTGCCAAAACACAGTCAACCATAGCACCGCTCCCCCCTACACACACACACTGCCAAACCACAGTCAACCATAGTACCGCTCCGCACACACACACACACAACCACACACTGCCAAAACACAGTCAACCATAGCACCGCTCCCCCCTACACACACAACCACACACTGCCAAAACAGTCAACCATAGCACCGCTCCCCACACACACACAACCACACACTGCCAAAACACAGGCAACCATACCACCGCTCCCCCCTACACACACACAACCACACACTGCCAAAACACAGTCAACCATAGCACCGCTCCCCCCACACACACAACCACACACTGCCAAAACACAGTCAATGGTTCGCTCCCGTGTGTGTGTCTCCTGTGTGTGTGTGTCTCTCGTGTGTGTGTGTGTGTCTCTCGTGTGTGTGTGTCTCTCGTGTGTGTGTGTGTGTCTCCCGTGTGTGTGCCCCCCCCCCCCCCCCCCAGTGGGAGTGGGTGAGGAGGAGGCCCCAGGCAGCAGGAGGAATGCGTCGGACGGAGCGGAGCACGTGCTGCTCACAGAGACATCTGGTACAGCTAAACACACGGCTACACACACACACAGCTACACACAGCTACACACAGCTACACACAGCTACACACACACACACACCTATATACTCTCTCTTGTTCGTCCATCAAGTTGATGATGACCATGGCACGTTTGTCATCTTGTTGGGTTTTGATGAGTGCGCAGATGTCTGAACAGGCCAATCCGAGCCCGGGATTCTCTGTGGCAACACTGGACAGGTCAGGGAGCGTGTAGAGTTCTGAGGTGCAGCCACAAAGTCCTTGCTTGGTAGATTTGTGCCGCTGCCTCATCAAGATGGCACGGGAGCTTCTCCTGCTCTCACAGAGGACTGCACCGTCACGTGCTTCTCTTCTCCACGCAGGTCGGTGCTGAGCTAGGGGGTTCCCAGCTTTTGAGGTCGAATCCAAAGCTTCTTCAAGGAAGCTTTAACGGTGTCCTTGTAGCGCTTCTTGGGGCCACCTTGCGCTCGCTTGCCCATTCTTCAGCTCGCCAAAGGAGACTTGTTTCGGCAGTCTCGCGCAGGGCATTCTGGTCACGTGGCCAGTCCATCTAAGCTGTTCCTTCGCAAGCAAGGTGTGGATGCCGGGGATATTGGCCTTGCTGAGGACTTGCGTGTCAGGGATTCTGTCTTGCCACTCGATCCTCAGCGGTTTCCTCAGACAGCTCAAGTGGAGATGGTTCAATAACTTGGCATGGCTGCTGGTAGACTGACTGTCCAGGCTTCGCACCCATACAGAGGAGTTGGTAAGACAACAGGCCGGTAGACCTTCAGTTTTGTCTCCTGCTTGATGCCAGTCCTTTCCCATACTGAGTCACGTAGACGTCCAAAGGCTGCACTGGCCTTGACAATCCTGATGTTAACTTCATCATCTGTGCGCACAGCGCGAGACAGAGTACTACCAAGGTAAGTAAACTTGTCAGCGGCTGAAAGCTTTTGCCCATTCACAAAGATGGTGGGGGGATCAGTGTAGGATTTCCCAGGAGCAGGTTGGTTATAGGACTTCAGTTTTCTTTGTGCTGATTGTTAGGCCGAAGTTGTTACAAGCTGAGGAGAAGTGGTCCATTCTGTCCTGTAGATCTTTATTTGAGCCAGGAGGCAGAGCACAGTCATCAGCAAACAAAGGTTCTCGAACGGTGACTTCCTCCATTCTGGTTTTGGCTTGCATCCTCCGCAGATTGAATAGCCCACCGTCAAAAATTGTAGATGAAGCTAATCCCAGTGTTGTGGTTCTGGAATGAGTCTTGCAGCATGGCTGGAGACACCATGCTGAAGAGCGTTGGCGCTACAACGCAGCCTTGCTTCACCCCGTTTGTGATTGGGAACGGATCAGAGAGTTCGTGCTGGTCTCTGACGCTGGCCATGTTGCCATCATGGAGTTTGCGCACGATGCCAATGAACTTGTCTGGACACCCATGCTTGGCCATGATCTTCCATAGGCCCTCCCGGCTGACTGTGTCGAATGCTTTTGTTAGATCAACGAAAGCCATTATATCGATCAGCATTTGTTCTTGCCATTTCTCCTGTCACTGCCGGGCAGTAAATACCATGTCAGTGGTTTCCGCGGTCTTTGCTGAAACCACGCTTACTCTCAGGTAGCAGACCCTGGTCTATGGTGGACAATTCGGCGGTTCAGAAGGATTATTGCCAAGATTTTCCCAGCGATTGATAGTATGGAAATGCCGCTATGGTTGTCACAGGCCTGCCGATTGCCTTTCCTCTTATAGAGATGGATTATAGAGGCATCCTTGAACTACCAGGGAACGGCTTCTAATTTCCACAGAGACCGGAAGAGGTCGGTCAGTTTCTCGACTAAGCGAGGCCCTCCAGCCTTGTAGATTTCTGCTGGAATGGCATCGGACCCTGAAGCTTTGCCTGATGAGAGGAGGCTTATGGCTTTGCTGGTTTCCTCAATGGATGGTAGAACAGCAAGCGACTGATATCAGTCAAAAACGTCGTGAGAATTTTATTGTTTTATATATTTTTTAATTTTATTGTTTCTCTTCTACGTGACTTTACCGAAAGAACCAAGAATATGAATCCCTGCAGCCACGAAAGCTTTAAATCAAAAAGCAAGGGACTGGTTTATTTCAACTTGAGGCAGTTTCTCAATTGCCTCCTCATTTATGCACGATGGGCCGGTTGAGGACTTCGCTCAAGTGTTCAGCCCACCTTGCAAGTATTTCGTCCTTCTCCGTGAGGAGCATTGTTCCATCCGCATTCAGGAAAGGTGAAGTTCCTGAGCGTTTAACATTATGAGACCTCCTTTGCCAGAAACAAGATATAGGAATAGGTTTTACCCTTTAAACTGGCACAAAAACTGACACCTTTATTCAAGGCATCATGTTTGCAATGACCACAACACAAGCAGTCAAAATGCAAACAAAAAAGACAACTCTGATAATAATATGCACTGTCCTTGAAATTGATTGGTCCACACCCGAGACGGCTTTTCTTAGAGCCTAGTCTCCATTGGTGTTGGACCAGAAGACGCCAAAAGGCGTACAACTCAAAAACAGCGCACTATCAGAGTATTGAGGGCTCGGGGTGAGCATTAACATTATGAGACCTCCTTTGCCAGAAACAAGATATAGGAATAGGTTTTACCCTTTTAACTGGCACAAAAACTGACACCTTTATTCAAGGCATCATGTTTGCAATGACCACAACACAAGCAGTCAAAATGCAGTGTGGACCAATCAAATTCAAGGACAGTGCATATTATTATCAGAGTTGTCTTTTTTGTTTGCATTTTGACTGCTTGTGTTGTGGTCATTGCAAACATGATGCCTTGAATAAAGGTGTCAGTTTTTGTGCCAGTTAAAAGGGTAAAACCTATTCCTGTTTCCTGAGCGTTGCGGACCATGGACCTGCTTGAGTGCATCATGGAGGCTCTTGGTGTTGTCACGGTCCAGCGTAGGACTGAAACTCTGCAGCTTCTGCGCACAGCCAGGCGTCTTGCATGACTCCGAGTCTCCGCTGGACGACCCTGCGGATGTTGAGGAAGGCAGTTTTCTTTAAGCTTGAGCTGCTGTCATGCAGGTATGCTTCATGCAGGCGATGTTTTTCGTCATGGAGTGCTCGGATTTCTGCATCGCTCTCATCGAACCAATCTTGATGTGTACGTATGGGGAACATCACGTGATGATTCAAGGGCTGTAGGATGCAACACGGTCATGAGGGCAGTCCAGTCTGCCTATATACAAAGATCACAAAGATCCCCCATATAGCCTTAACAGACTGTAGGGGCAAGTGCTGTTAGCAAGCACGTATGAAGTCTGGAACGGTACACGAGGGGGTGGGTGGCCAGCACCACGCCCGACCGCCTTTGTCTCCCTAGTGGCAATTTTACACGCTGCACCAGGTACTCATTTGAGGCTGAGTGGACCTAGGGGAGGCCCGGGACCGAGTTAAGATAATCGTCACTGGTGTTGGCCGTGAGCGGGAATCGAACCCGTGTCGCCGGGTTCATAGCGCAGTGCGCTAACCGCTACACTATCGCTCCCCATACACACACAGCTACACACACACACAGCTACACACACAAACACACAGCTACACACACACACAGCTACACACACACAGCTACACACACACAGCTACACACACACAGCTACACACACACATACACAGCTAGACACATACAGACACCTCACAGAGACATCCGGTATAGCTACACACACAGCTACACACACAGCTGCACACACACAAGTGAGCTTCTATGAAGGCCGGCACGGCACATGAGGGGGTGTGTGGCCAACACCACGCCCGACCGCCTTTGTCTCCCTGGTGGCGATGTTAGGATAGGTTATGGGTGTGTAGGGGTAGGCTAGGGGTGTGTAGAGGTAGGCTAGGGGTGTGTAGAGGTAGGCTAGGGGATGTGTATTGGTAGGCTAGGGGTATGTAGGGGTAGGCTAGGGGTGTGTAGGGGTAGGCTAGGGGTGTGTAGGGGTAGGCTAGGGGAGTGTAGGGGTAGGCTAGGGGTGTGTAGAGGTAGGCTATGGGTGTGTAGGGGTAGGCTAGGGGTGTGTAGGGGTAGGCTAGGGGAGTGTAGGGGTAGGCTAGGGGTGTGTAGAGGTAGGCTATGGGTGTGTAGAGGTAGGCTAGGGGTGTGTAGGGGTAGGCTAGGGGTGTGCAGGGGTAGGCTAGGGGTATGTAGAGGTAGGCTAGGGGTGTGTAGGGGTAGGCTAGGGGTGTGTAGGGGTAGGCTAGGGGTGTGTAGGGGTAGGCTAGGGGTGTGTAGGGGTAGGCTCGGGGTGTGTAGGGGTAGGCTAGGGGTGTGTAGGGGTAGGCTAGGGGTGTGTAGGGGTAGGCTAGGGGTGTGTAGGGGTAGGCTCGGGGTGTGTAGGGGTAGGCTAGGGGTGTGTAGGGGTAGGCTAGGGGTGTGTAGGGGTAGGCTAGGGGTGTGTAGGGGTAGGCTAGGGGTGTGTAGGGGTAGGCTAGGTGTGTGTAGGGGTAGGCTAGGGGTAAGGGTCCCCACACGGCTCCAAACTCCCTTTGAGAACGATGACTATGACGATGACATCAACGATGATGTCGTCGGTGACGCCACTGATGACGATGACCGTGATGACGATGAGTGTGGTGATGATGATGACATCGCGTGTCCGCGCTTGCACGTGCCTGCGTGTGTGCATGCGTGTGTGTGCGTGTCCGTGCATGTGTACCTGTGTATCCGTGCGTGTGTACGTGCATGCGTGCGTGCGTGTCCGTGCGTGTGTATGTGTGTCTGTGCGTGTGTATGTGTGTGCGTGTCCGTGCGTGTGTACGTGTGTGTCCATGTGTGCGTGTCCGTTCGTGTGTACGTGTGTGTCCGTGCGTGTGTACGTGTGTGTCCGTGCATGTGTACCTGTGTGTCCGTGCGTGTGTCCGTGCGTGTGTCTGTGCGTGCGTGCGTGTGTGCAGGCGAGTCCCTGCACGCCGTCTACGTGGCCATCCCGGCCATCCCGCTGCTGCTGCTGCTCGTCGTGGCGCTGGGCCTGCTGTGCTCGCGCTCCTGCGGCTCCCCCCCGTACGATCGTCGCGACGTGCGGTGCAGTCGGGTGGCACGCACGGGCACACTCACACGCACACACACGCACACACGCACACGCACTCACACACTCACACACGCACTCACACACTCACACACACTCACACGCACTCACGCGCACGGACACACGCGTACACACACGCACTCACACGCACGCACACGCACTCACACGCACGCACTCACACACACGCACGGACACGCACGCACTCACACACGCACTCACACACTCACACGCACACACTCACACGCACACACTCACACGCACACGCACGCACACGGACACACGCATATACGCACGGACACACGCACACACACGGACGCACGGACACGCACGCACGGACAAGCACGCACAGCTCGCCAGTGGAAAACCACCCGTGCCGTGCCATGCCGCCGCCCACGCTGCTCTCAGCTCGAGGGAACGGGCGGTGTTTTTTTTGTTTGTGTCAATCGACGGCCACGTGCGAGCCGGCGTCGGGGGCCGGCACGGGTACGGGTGCTTTTCCACCGGCACCGCACGCGAGCCGCTGCGGTGGCAGGCCCCCGTACCTACGCCCAACATCTACCCGCGTCCCCACGTAAGAATAAGTTTCGCCCCTTTCTGGCCGTAACGGAACAGCCCACCGGTAGGTTGTCAACAACACCAAACGGAAACCTTTGGCAAGGATTCGCGTCGCTGCGTTGACCGCGCGCGGTACTCGGGGTCAACGTGCAATACGCGGAGCTCTCAAATGCCCTGATGGTGGCATTGCCCTCGTGCTCTTCGCCTTTTGGCGCTGTCCCCTCCCGGTCTCGAACACCGCCGGTGAGGCTGGGCCACTGAGGAGAGCCGTCTCTAGTGTGGGCCGATCAGTTTCAATGACAATGCGCCGTCGCCATCGTATACCGCCAGAGCGTGTTTGATTGCCCGCACTCGTCCGCCACAAGGAACGCGTGCGGCGGCGAACGCAGCGGCACGCGACTCCTCGCGAAAGGTTTTCCGTTTGGTGTTTGGACGTCTGAACACGACCCGTTTGATTGTTTGATTGTTTGATTGCCAGGAAGGGCAAAACAAACGTGCTCCTTGGTTCCTTCGGTAACGTCACGTACCTTGCGTCACGTAGATACGTCACGTACCTGCGTCACGTACCTGCGTCACGTACCTGTGTCACGTACCTACATCACGTACCTACGTTACGTACCTACGTCACGTAGATACGTCATGTAGATACGTCACGTACCTACTTCACGTACCTGCGTCACGTACCTGCGTCACGTACCAACGTCACGTACCTGCGTCACGTACCTACGCCACGTACCTACGTAACGTACCTGCGTCACGTACCAACGTCACGTACCTGCGTCACGTAGATACGTCACGTACCTACGTCACGTACCTGCGTCACGTACCTGTGTCACGTACCTACGCCACGTACCTGCGTCACGTAGATACGTCACGTACCTACGTCACGTAGATACGTCACATACCAACGTCACGTACCTGCGTCATGTAGATACGTCACATACCAACGTCACGTACCTGCGTCACGTATATACGTCACATACCAACGTCACGTACCTGCGTCACGTATCAACGTCACATACCAACGTCACGTACCAACGTCACGTACCTACGTAACGTACCTGCGTGCATTTACCAAAATAACTATTTGGCTCTTTCGGTAAAGTCACGTGGGTGGAAAGATGACGGATGGCGACGTTTGGACCGCAACGCAAAGCGTTGTGTCGTCAGTCGATTGCTTGTGCTGCGGTCGTCCCCGCCTGATGACGGTCCCGTTGGGTCGCCATCCGCTATTCTTCTACCCACGTGACTTCACCGAAAGAAACAAAGAGCAAGGGGGGTCACGTGATGTCGCGACGCCCTCTACTGCTCAGCGCCGCGTGCTAACGCCCCCCCTCCCCGCCCACCGGCTCCTGTCTCCGTGCAGGGCTCACGACGGCAACCAGAACCAGGTGAAGGCACAAGATCTGTGGATCCCAGCGGCCAGATTCCGCACCCAAGAAGTTTGAGGTCCCACCAACTTGTAAAATTTACCTCCCGTACCCCCCCACCACCACCAACCTTGTGAGGTTAAAGACTACCACCCCCCCCTCCGCCCCCACCCCAACCTCGCCGAAACTCTCGCTCACAATCCCACAGAGGAACAAACTCGACAGGTCCTTTGGTAACGGTTTAGCCAGTGGTATTCTTGCAGCGTCTGTTTGTGTTTCTGCCCTTGCGATGGTGACTTTGTAGGATGAACGTTGAGGTTTATAAGGGGCACGGGGTGACCAATAAGGTCTGAACTGGTCTGTAAGGCACTGATAAGGGGTTGACAGGTATGTAGCAGTGTAGTGTATAGTGTAGTGTATAGTGCAGTGTATAGTAGTGTAGTGTATAGTAGTGTATAGTAGTGTAGTGTATAGTGTAGTGTGTAGTGTATATTGGAGTGTATATTGGAGAGTATAGTGTGTAGTGTATAGCGTAGTGTATAGCGATAGTGTAGTGTATAGTGTAGTGTATAGTGTAGTGTATAGTAAAGTGTATATTGGAGAGTATAGTGGAGAGTATAGTGTAGTGTGTAGTGTATAGTGTAGTGTATAGTAGTGGTAGTGTATAGTGTAGTGTATAGTGGAGAGTATAGTGTGTAGTGTATAGTGTAGTGTATAGTAGTGGTAGTGTATAGTGTAGTGTATAGTGGAGAGTATAGTGTAGTGTGTAGTGTATAGTGTAGTGTATAGTAGTGGTAGTGTATAGCGTAGTGTATAGTAGTGTATAGTGTAGTGTGCAAGGGTAGTGTATAGTGTAGTGTATAGTGTAGTATATAGTGTAGTAGTATAGTGTATAGTAGTGGTAGTGTATAGCGTAGTGTATAGTAGTGTATAGTGTAGTGTATAAGGGTAGTGTAGTGTATAGTGTAGTGTGTAAGGGTAGTGTATAGTGTAGTGTATAGTGTAGTATATAGTGTAGTAGTATAGTGTATAGTAGTGTATAGTAGTGTAGTGTATAGTAGTGTAGTGCATAGTAGTGTATAGTGTAGGTGTATAGTGTAGCGTATAGTGTAGCGTATAGTGTATAGCGTAGTGTAGTGTATAGCGTAGTGTAGTGTATAGCGTAGTGTAGTGTATAGCGTAGTGTAGTGTATAGCGTAGTGTAGTGTATAGTAGTGTATAGCGTAGTGTAGTGTATAGTAGTGTATAGTGTAGTGTATAGTAGTGTATAGTGTAGTGTATAGTGTAGTGTATAGTGTAGTGTATAGTGTAGTGTATAGTGTAGTGTATAGGTTGACAGCTCTGGTAACGCTGCCTTAGGCCTGCCACTGTGCGACCCCTTCGCCAACTCGAGCTCCACTGCAGTCGCTCACCGGCTCCGAGTTCTGGCAATCGGTAACCCGATTCTCAAACTGGTTACCACCGGTTGAACCGGTTTATTGTTTACCAACCGTCTGTCACCACCCCTACCCCCCCCCCCTTTTCCACCGGCACCACACGTGAGCCAAGCCAGCGTGGCACCGGCACGGTATGGGTGGTTTTCCACTGCCATACGCGAACCGTTGTGGTGACGGACGCGGCGATTACGGTGATTGTTCTGGCTCGAATCGCTCGCTCGCTGGTGAGTTCAATGGTCAATGGGCAACTTAGCCCATCATCTGATTACACCCACGTGCGTCACACGCGCGTCACACACGCACGTCACACACGCGCGTGTGATGCGTGTGCGTGTGTGACGTGTGGGCAGTGATTGGCGCTACGAAACCCGACAACCTGAATTCGATTCCCGCTCGCAGCCACCAACACCCGGTGCCGATTGTCTGAACCGGTCCCGTGCCTCCCCGAGGTCGACTCGGCCTCAGGCGTGTACCGGGTGCGGCGTGCGGTGGCCGTCGCCACCGGGGAAGACAAAGGCGGCCGGGGGTGCTGCAGGCCGCCCAGCCCCCGACGGCCCTCATTGACGCCGCTCGTTAAACGGCACTTGCCCCGGCAGCCTGTTGAGGCTACACGGGGGATCTTGACGTCTCGTGCGTCTGCGAGTTGCGTGTCGCATGCGTGTCACCGTTTGTGCCGATGTTGCGGACGCGCTGACCGCCGTGCGTGCGTTGTGCTGTACTCGCGCTCGTACGCAACCGGGGGTGGAGGAGGGGGGGGGGCTTTAAAGTGGAAGGCTTGGCCACAGCGATGGATTGAGGTGGTGGTGGCGGTGGTGGTGTCGAATCGGATTGAGATGGTGGCGGTGGTGGTGGTGGTGATGTCGAGTCGGAGACGTTGACAATCGAAAGGTTCCAAATCCGGGTGTCGGTGCCGTGAGTTGATGGTCTGAGTTCGGGCAGCAGTGACTCGCATAGAGACCCATAGACTCGCATAGAGACCCATAGACTCCTACAGAGACCCATAGATTCCTACAGAGACCCATAGAATCCTACAGAGACCCAGAGACTCCTACAGAGACCCACAGACTCACACAAAGACCCACACATTCACACAGATATCCACAGACTCGCATAGAAACTCACAGACTCACACAGAGACCCACATACCCACACAGAGACCCATAGACTCTAATTGACCTACACCAATCAAGGGCAATGCATATATTAACAGAGCCATGTTTGCATGTTCACCACAAGTACGTGTGATTAATGAAGTACTTGATCCCTTGAAAAAGATTTCTGTTTGGTGTTTGAACACCTTCACACAGCTTCTGTTTAATTGCCACAAAGGGTAAAACTCCATTCTTATTTTTGTATACAGGGCACTCCTCTAATTACGGACGAGTCAGGTTCCAGAGGTCACTGTTCGTAAGTCGATTTGTTCGTGAATCCAACTTCACTGCTGTCGATTCCAAACGCGTTGTACGGCGTGTACACTAGACACGGGGGAATGGCTTTGAAAGTTGTCTAATCTCCTGTAGATGCCATTGGTTCTTCACGTTCTGCAGATGTAGATGCCACTGGTTCTTCACGTTTTGCTGATGTAGATGCCACTGGTTCTTCACGTTCTGCAGATGTAGATGCCACTGGTTCTTCACGTTTTGCTGATGTAGATGCCACTGGTTCTTCACGTTCTGCAGATGTAGATGCCACTGGTTCTTCACGTTTTGCTGATGTAGATGCCACTGGTTCTTCACGTTCTGCAGATGTAGATGCCACTGGTTCTTCACGTTCTATAGATGTAGATGCCACTGGTTCTACACGTTCTGTATATGTAGATGCCGCTGGTTCTTCATGTTCTGTAGATGGCACTGGTTTTTGCACGTTCTATAGATGTAGATGCCGCTGGTTCTTCACGTTCTATAGATGTAGATGCCACTGATTCTTCACGTTCTGCAGATGCAGATGCCACTGGTTCTTCACGTTCTATAGATGTAGATGCCACTGGTTCTTCACGTCCTGTAGATGTAGATGCCGCTGGTTCTTCACGTTCTATAGATGTAGATGCCGCTGGTTCTTCACATTCTGCAGATGTAGATGGCGCTGGTTCTTCACGTTCTATAGATGTAGATGCCGCTGGTTCTTCACGTTCTATAGATGTAGATTCCACTGGTTCTTCACTTTCTGCAGATGTAGATGCCACTGGTTCTTTACGTTCTGCAGATGTAGATGCCACTGGTTCTTCACGTTCTGCAGATGTAGATGCCACTGGTTCTTCACATTTTGCTGATGTAGATGCCACTGGTTCTTCACGTTCTGTAGATGTAGATGCCACTGGTTCTTCACGTTCTGCAGATGTAGATGCCACTGGCTCTTCACGTTATATAGATGTAGATGCCACTGGTTCTTCATGTTCTGTAGATGTAGATGCCACTGGTTCTTCACGTTCTGCAGATGTAGATGCCACTGGTTCTTCACGTTCTGCAGATGTAGATGCCATTGGTTCTTCACGTTCTGCAGATGTAGATGCCACTGGTTCTTCACGTTCTGAAGATGTAGATGCCACTGGTTCTTCACGTTCTATAGATGTAGATGCCGCTGGTTCTTCACGTTCTGCAGATGTAGATGGCGCTGGTTCTTCACGTTCTATAGATGTAGATGCCACTGGTTCTTCACGTTCTATAGATGTAGATGCCACTGGTTCTACACGTTCTGTATATGTAGATGCCGCTGGTTCTTCATGTTCTGTAGATGGCACTGGTTTTTGCACGTTCTATAGATGTAGATGCCGCTGGTTCTTCACGTTCTATAGATGTAGATGCCGCTGATTCTTCACGTTCTGCAGATGTAGATGCCACTGGTTCTTCACGTTCTATAGATGTAGATGCCACTGGTTCTTCACGTCCTGTAGATGTAGATGCCGCTGGTTCTTCACGTTCTATAGATGTAGATGCCGCTGGTTCTTCACGTTCTGCAGATGTAGATGCCACTGGTTCTTCACGTTCTCTAGATGTAGATGCCGCTGGTTCTTCACGTTCTATAGATGTAGATGCCACTGGTTCTTCACGTTCTGTAGATGGAGATGCCACTGGTTCTTCACGTTCTGTAGATGTAGATGCCACTGGTTGTTCACGTCCTGTAGCTGTAGGCTGCAAGTGGACGTGCGTGGGATAAGGGTTTGGTTCCTATCTCCCCTAAAGAAGTCGCCGACTCGTCGATTTGTGTTCTGTTTAGTCGACGAGTCCGCCGTACCACGACGCTGGCAAGCAACAACAACAACACAAACAAACAAGACAACAACAACAATATATGTATATTTATTTTTTTGCGTCAGTAGGGGAGATGGTCCCATGCCCACGTGGCTTTGCTCGAAACTTAAAGGTCGCTCGCTCGCTCGCTCGTCTGCGTCGACCACCGTCCCCCCCCCCCTCTCCTACTGCGGAGTGGAGCGGCAGATCGAGGCACTCCGAGGGGGGGTCCCTTCTCGGCAGAGGGGGCCTCTGGCGTGCCAGATCAAGGCTACATTGTCACCCCCTCGCCTACTCTACTACCCTCGTTGCTGCTGTTGCTGCTGTTGCTGCTGTTGCTGCTGTTGCTGCTGTTGCTGCTGTTGTTGTCACGTCTAAATTATATATATAATAAAAAAATAATTACAAAATTATAACGGAAGTAAAAAAATTACTTTGAGAAAGTTACACGTATAAATGAACGACGGAAATGGAAAATTACTTAAAGCATAGTAATGTAATAACGTGTCGATTGTATGTTGAATGTTTGTAAGCAATATTGTTCGATGACGCTATTGTGACGTGAATAATTAATAAACATGTATTTGAAACTTACGCAAAAAAAAATTCGAAGCGCGCGTAATTTCTTAACGGTGTCAATTAAAAAAAAAGCACAACAACAATCAATGAAAAAAAATGTAATCAAACAATAACCTTCACAACTAAAATGTGGGGGGTGGTGGGGGGGACGCTGGGGCGGGGAGACGCAGCGACCGACGGGATCGGATTGCACGCAAATCGGCGGCGTCCAAAGGCGTCCAATCCAGCAGTGGATAGTTCACGGCCGACGGCGACGACGGTCGAAGCTGCAGGCGCGGCCCTGCAAGTGCTCGCACGCCGCCAGCGCTGGCGGAAAGGCTGTTGTCGGGAGCGAAGCGCTCGCGGGTTGTGCTTTGGCCTACTCTTCCCCTGTGCCCTCGTGCGCCCTGCCGGCCTTAATAGGTGCTCGCTAACATCACTTTACCCCCCCACCCCTTCCCCCCATGGCCTTTGACATTCTGATTGGCTACATGGGGAATCTTTGTGCTTGCGTGTGTGTGTGTGTGGTTAGCTGCTGGCTAACAGCACTTGCCCCAAAAGTCCGGTAAGGCTATACGGGGGATCTTTGTCTTGTGTGTGTGTGTGTGTGGTTAGCTGCTGGCTAACAGCACTTGCCCCAAAAGTCCGTTAAGGCTATACGGGGGATCTTTGTCTTGTGTGTGTGGTTAGCTGCTCGCTAACAGCACCAACTGCACTGAGTGATGAAGTATAGCCAAACGAATCCCACCTGATTTAACAATCCGGTTTAGTCACAACTTCGTCTATGTAGGTCTATGGGTCTCTCTGTGGGTCCATGGGTCTCTGTGTGGGTGTATGGGGCTCTCTGTGGGTCTATGGCTCTCTGTGATAATCCATGGCTCTCTGTGGGTCTCTGTGGGGGTCCATGGCTCTCTGTGAGAATCCATGGCTCACTGTGGGTCTGTGGGCCTCTGTGAGAATCCATGGCTCTCTGTGGGTCTGTGGGTCTCTGTGTGGGGGGGGGGGGGGGTCCATGGCTCTCTGTGTGAATCCATGGGTCTCTACGCGAGTCGTCCAGTGACCAGGCTAACTCCACCCGTGACCTCGCTCCCTACGAGTCCCATGGGGTCTCACGACCGCCTGCCCGCTCGCTCACTCCCTGCCTCTCTGCTCCAGGTAGCCGTTGATCCATTCCGGGTACTGCGTGACGCGCGAGTACACCCCGGGCCGGTTGGGCCGGGCACAGCCCTGGCCGAAGGAGGTGATGCCCACCAGGAACCAGGCCCCGCTCTGCTCGCACATGAGGGGACCTCCAGAGTCACCCTGGGGGGTGGGGGGGAGGGAGAGATGTGGGGGCGGGGGGGGGCACGGGGAGATATCAGAAGTGATGAGAAAGCATAGAGGGTGACCGTGTGTTGCTTATTTCAGGTGTGTGGGTGTGTGGGTGTGTGTTGGACCAGGGGTGGAGAACCTTTTTTTCTGCCAAGGGCCATTCGGATATTTAGAACATCATTCGCGGGCCATTCAAAATTATCAACTTAAAAATTAGCTTTGTTATATTTGGTCAAACATTGAATGTGATGGGCTGGAACTGCTTCTCTTCGGCGAGGCGTGTGGTGATGATGTTAGCCGGTATTGACGATGTTGCTGCTACTCGCAACTGCTTTTCCAGGTTTGCTCCTAGATTTATTGAATTTCGAGTCCCGCCTGCGGTTGCCTTGGCAGGGCCAGACCAAACGATTTTGCGGGCCTTGTACAGCCCGCGGGTCGGACGCTCCCCCACCCCTGTGTTAGACGGACAGGTGCGTGAGTGACAGGTGATTTTGCGAGTGACAGGTGAGTGAGTGGGTGAGCGAGTGGGTGAGCGAGTGACAGGTGGGTGAGTGGGTGGGTGAGCAGGTGAGCGAGTGACTGGACATGCAAGCGGGTGAGTGAGCGAGTGACAGGTGAGTGAGTGGGTGGGTGAGTGAGTGAGTGAGTGACAGGTGGGTGAGTGGGCGGGAGAGTGAGCGAGTGACAGGTGGGTGAGTGGGTGGGTGAGTGAGCGAGTGACAGGTGAGTTAGCGGGTGAGTGAGTGAGTGACAGGTGGGTGAGTGGGCGGGTGAGTGAGCGAGTGACAGGTGAGTGAGTGAGCGGATGAGTGAGTGACAGGTGTGTGAGTGGGCGGGAGAGTGAGCGAGTGACAGGTGAGTTAGCGGGTGAGTGAGTGAGTGACAGGTGTGTGAGTGGGCGGGAGAGTGAGCGAGTGACAGGTGAGTGAGTGGGTGGGTGAGTGAGCGGGCAGTACCTGGCACGTGTCCACGCCGCCCTCCACGAAACCGGCACACACCATGTTGTCGGTGATGTCGAAGAGGCTGCCCTGCAGCGCTATGCACGCCTCGTTGGACAGCAGCGGAACCTCGGCCTCCTGCAGCGCGTCGGGCGAGCCGCCTGCACAAAGACAAAGGTGTCCCCCCCCCACCCCGCCGTGTAGCCTCAGCAGACTGTTGGGGCAAGTGCCGTCGGCGAGCGGCGCCTACGAAGGCCGGCACGGCGCGCGAGGAGGGAGAACGCACGGGCCGCGCAGAGAGAGGGAAGCCCGGGTGGGGGATTGAACCCCGCTCCCCTTAAGCCGTGAGGCCGCTGTGCGCTGCCGGTGGCCCCCTGCGACCCCTGCCGCCCAGAGGAAGGCTGGCAAGCGCGACCCACCCGTGCCCTCCCCGCGACCCCCTCCACCACCTCCACACAATCCCCCCGTGACCCCCCTACGACCTCTCGGCGACCCCAGCCGGAGCCCCCCCCCCCCCCCCCCCCCCACCTAGAGACAAGTTTGCAGCTCACCTCCTTCCCTGGTGTTGCCCCAGCCGGCGATGGCACAGGTCATGTCGGCCGGGAAGTCCTGGTCCCCTTCCGGGAGGCACACCGGGGCGATGTAGTCTAGCGGCGGGGAGACATGGAGGGAGCGAGTGAGGGAGGGTTAGAGGGAGGGAGAGAGAGAGACATTTGGGAAGGAGCGAGTGAGTTAGAGAGGGAGGGAGTTAGGGAGGGATACAGATGGAGGGAGTGAGTTCGAGAGGGAGTGAGGGAGTAAGGGAGGGAGTGAGTTAGAGAGGGAGTGAGTTAGAGAAGGAGGGGAGGGAGTTAGGGAGGAATACAGATGGAGGGAGTGAGTTAGAGAGGGAGGGGAGAGAGGGAGTTAGAGAGGGATACAGATGGAGGGAGTGAGTTCGAGAGGGAGTGAGGGAGTAAGGGAAGGAGTGAGTTAGAGAGGGAGGGAGTTAGAGAGGGATACAGATGGAGGGAGGGAGCTAGAGAGGGAGAGAGGGAGTAAGGGAGGGAGTGAGTTAGAGAGGGAGTGAGTTAGAGAAGGAGGGGAGGGAGTTAGGGAGGGATACAGATGGAGGGAGTGAGTTAGAGAGGGAGGGACTGAGTTAGAGAGGGATACAGATGGAGGGAGTGAGTTAGAGAGGGAGGGACTGAGTTAGACAGGGAGCGATATGGAGGGAGAGAGTGAGTTAAGAGAGGGAGTGTGAGTTAGAGAGGGATACGGGGAGGGAGTGAGTTAGAGAGGGAGGGGTGGGGAGGGGAGGTTGGGCCTGGCACCGGTGAATTCGACGGGCTGGGCAAGGCGCATGAGGGCGATGTCGTTGTCGTTGGAGCTGGAGCTGTAGCCGGGGTGGATGTGGATGGCCGAGATGGCCACCGACTGCGACGGCGTCGCCGCGTGGTCCGACTGGAGGTGCAGGCCCAGCAGCGCGGCCCACGAGTCCATGTTCGAGTCCCGTCTGCGGTGGGGGGCGTGCCAGCGTGCCGCCGTGAACGTTGGGGGACGATCGCGAGCACGTGCCGGAGAATCGCTTCTCACTCACAGCGTTTGCCCCCCCCCACCCCCCCTCCCAGCGGTCAGGTTAAGGGTACACGGGGGATCTTTGTCTTCGTGTGCACGTGTGGTGTGTGCCTCCCGGACAAGCCCCCGACCGGCATTTTGGCTTTGCGTGTCACGCGTGTGCCATGTATCCCGTGCGAACAGCACTTGCCCCAGCAGTATGTTAAGGCTAAACGGGGGATCTTTGTCTTCGTGTGCACGTGTGGTGTGTGCGTCCCGGACGAGCCCCCGACCGGCATTTTGGCTTTGCGTGTCACGTACGTGTCACGCGTGTGCCATGTATCCCGTGCGAACAGCACTTGTTAAGGCTGCACGGGGGAGACTTGCGTGTGCGTGTGTGCGTGCGTGCGTGCGCGCCACTACCCACGCACCCCTCCACGCAGTGCGCCGCCGTCACCAGCCACTCGTCGTCCACGATGGAGGCGCCGCACAGATGCCTCCCGTTGTAGCGCAGCGACACGACCCAGGGCCAGCCCCCCGGCACCGCGTCCTGGCCGCCCACCACTCGCCCGCTGGGCACCAGCGGCCGCTTACCGCAGTCTGAGAGAGACGGGGGGGGGGGGGAGAAGGGGGGGGGAGGGTGCACAAAGACAAAGGTCCCCCGTGTAGCCTTCGCCGAACGGACCGTTGGGAGGCCCGAGCGTGACCAGTGCGGATAATCGTCACCGGTGTTGGGTCTCGAGCGGGAATCGAACTCGGGTCGCCGGGGGTTCGAAGCGCGCTGACCCGATGCACTACCGCTCCCCACTGTCCCACAAAGACAAAGGTTACCCCCCTCTCCGTGTAGCCTCAACGGACTTGTGGGGCAAGTTGCTGTTCGCGAGCAGCGCCCTAGGAAGGCCGGCACGGTGGCGTGTGGGCGAGGGGGTGGGTGGCCAGCGCCATCCACACTGTACCGGGTGCTCGATTGAGGCCGAGTTGACGTAGCGAGAGAGCCGGGACCGGTTTCAGATAATCGTCACCGGTGTTGGCTGTGAACTCGGTTCTCGGCGGGACCGTAGCGCAGAGCGCTAACGGCTACGCCACCGCTCCCCATACACAAGGTAAAGTTAAAGATCCCCCCCCCTACCCTGCGCTCCGTGTAGCCTGTAACAGACTGTTGGGGCAAGTGGTGTTGGCGAGTAGCAGCACCCTATGAAGGCCGGCACTGTGGCACACGAGAGGGCGGGTGAGCAGCACCGCGCCCGGCCGCCTTTGTCTCCCCTAAGTGGCGATATTTACTACACACCGCTATGCCGGGTACTCGTTTTAGAGTCGGCCTAGGGGGAGGGCCGAGCACCGGTTCAGATATTGGCCACGGTTCTCAGCCGTGAGCGGGAATCAAACTCGGGTCTCTGCCCGGTTGCTAGCGTGCGACTCATTGTCGGGAGGGGGGGGGGGCATGCAGCGTGGGGGGGCCGTGGGGGAGGGGGGGCAAGGGGGGGGCGAGGGGGGGGGGGCGGAGGCGGGCAGCACCTGGGGGGTTGCAGTTTGTCTGGACGACTTGGTTGGTTGGGCAGGAGATGCTGCGCATAGACACACGGAGGAGACGCACGGACACACACGGACACGCACACGGACACACATGGACGCACACGGACACACACCGATACACACGGATACACACGGACACGTGGATACACACGGACGCGCGGATCACGCGGATACACACAGATACGGACGGACACACACAGATACACACGGACGAACACACATGGGCAGGGAGACACCACGGACACACGGACACACACGGACACACGTACACACACGGACACACACGGACACATTGACGCGTCAGAGCGACGTTACTGTGGTCACATCTGTAGTCGCTACTCTCCACGTCTTCGATGTCGCTATCTGTTGTTGTTGTTGCACGTCTTCTGAACCTGCATACCTAGACGTTATGACGTCAGAGTGAGTACCTGAACGTTATGACGTCAGAGTGAGTACCTGGACGTTATGACGTCAGAGTGAGTACCAGAACGTTATGACGTCAGAGTGAGTACCTGGGTGTTATGACGCCAGAGTGAGTACCTGGGTGTTATGACGTCAGAGTGAGTACTTGGACGTTATGACAACAGAGTGAGTACCTGGACGTTATGACGTCAGAGTGAGTACCTGGGTGTTATGACGTCAGAGTGAGTACCTGGGTGTTATGACGTCAGAGTGAGTACCTGGGTGTTATGGCGTCAGAGTGAGTACCTGGACATTATGACGTCAGAGTGAGTACCTGGGCGTCAGTTGGATGGTGGCGATGGAGTTGCCGCTGGCGATGACGTAGGGACCGTACCCAGCAGCCCCTACCGAGCCGCTGCTGTTCGCTCCACTGTTGGACACAAAGACAAAGGAACCCCCACGACCGTGTAGCCTCGACAGACAGTTGGGGTCAAGTGCCGTCAGCGAACGTCGCCGCCTATGAAGGCCTGGCACGGCACCACGAGGGGGTGTAAAACATCAACAACAACCGCCATCCGCCACTAAGTGGTGGTGAGGTCACCACGACGCTTGTGCCAGGCTACGTGCACATTGAGGCCACGTGAAGTGTCGAACGCCCGCTGGCAGGAGGTCACGGGGCAGACCCAGGTCGACTGACTGAGATGACCGAGATGACTGGCTGATGCACCACCTGTGCTCCCTACTGTGGCAACTTGCTGTGCTTTAGCCACCCGGCGCTCCGCTCGTTGTTGTGAGCGTCGCTCCTCCGCCCACCGTTGTTGTTGGAGGGCGACTGCCTTCAACTGCCCAGTAGCGTCCTTCACGAGCCTCCTCCACAGAGGCCGATCTTGATACCGCTGGTACTAGTCATCGGCAAGTCCACTCAGCTCCATGTCCTGCTGTACCACATCACTCCATCTCTTCTCTAGCCCGTGTCGCGCTTGTTTAGCCCCCTCGATCTGGCCGGACAAAAGCTGTTTAGGCATGCGGTGGCTGGGCATGCGGGCTACATGACCCAGCCAACGCAGCCGTGCACGCCGGAGGAGATCACCGATGGGACTTTGCCCAGATCTTTTAAGGATTTGTGAGCTCCTCACACAATCCAGCCTGATTAAACCCAGGATGGATCGTAGGCTGGCCAGCCTAAATGTTTCTAACCAGCGAAGATGTTCCATTAGGGGGGTCCACGTTTTGCAAGCGTAGAGAAGGGAGGGAATGACCATGGCCGAGAAGACCTGAAGCTTCGTGCGGAGTGACAGACCAGGTAGCTTCCACACAGCATTACGCAACCGATGAAAATATATTGCTGATCGACCTCTGCTGTTAAACCGGAGCCAGTCAGGAGCACACTGCCCAGGTATGGGAAACCCTCCACTTTCTCCGATGGAACAAAATGCCCAGGCAGGTGCTTAGTTTTGGTGGGGCTGATGGTAAGACCCCACCTCTTAGGGGCACGCTCGAGTTTCAGCAGCAGCATCTCCAACTCCTCCTCTGAATGAGCATCAAATACCAAATCATCGGCATATATAACGTGGTTGACCAATAGGGAGCCATCCCTTGAACGCACCCAGGCATCGATCAGCCTCCCATTGTATCAGTACCAAATGGAAATTCCTCCGGTACAACTATTGAAGGCTTCACGAACTACGTGGTCAAAATTGATGTTAAATAAGGTGGGAGCCAGAGGACATCCCTGTCGCACCCCTAGGTGCACAGGGAATGGCTCTAACTCCCGGCCACGTAGTTTTACCCGGGCCCGCTCACCATCATGAAGGTCCTTAATGATCGTGAGCAGTGGGTCAGGGACTCCGAAAGCACGAAGAACAACCCAGAGCCCAGGCCTACTGATGGTATCATAGGCCTTGACGAGGTCAATAAAGCAGAGATGTAGGTCTTGTTGGAATTCCCTACACCTCTGCTGTAGCAGACGGACAGAAAATATGGTGCTTTCCTGAAACCACATTGGGGCTCCGCAAGCCTCTCCTCAGCGTGCCTAGCAAGGCGATGTTGAATAATCCTTGCCAGGACCTTTGCCGGCACACTGAGGAGTGATATATCCCTGTAGTTGTTACAGGGCATCCTTCCAATCCTGTGGAACCCGTCCAGTGTTATAATGTCATGTAAGGCAGTCTGTGCACAAACGCCACCCTCCCTCAGCATTTCGCTTGGGAGATCATCTCTGCCCGGTGCCTTTCCTGGTCTCAGACTCTGGATCGCCTTCAGTACTTCCTCAACAGAAGGCACCTCAGCCAACCACTCACAGGAGGTGACTTCTTCTTCCAATATTTGAGGCACCGCAGCCTCAGCAGGGTCATCCCCACTTTGTCCCGTGATGTTTTTCAAGTCGAGAGATTTCCCCTCTCCCAGAACTTCACAGAAATGCTCAGTAAATCTGCAAATCTGTTCCTGGGGGTCGGAGATTGGATCACCGTCTTGTCCCTGAATGATGGTAATAGGTGTGGGGCTACAGGTTACTTTTTTGATGGAGTTAAATAGGGATTCGTGATCGCGGGCCATTGAGGCAGACTCCATCTTCTCAGCAACCCGCGACCACCACCCATCCTTGCAGCGCCTCACGGCTCTCCTAACCTCCGAGCGAAGGCTGCAATAAGCCTCCACATTCTCTGATGTGGGATGCTGTAGACGATTAGAGTGGGCCTGTCGCTTTTTCTCAGCCATCCTGAACACCTCCCCTATCAGCCAGGGTCTCTGGGGAGGTCTGGACCGCGTACCCAAAGCAGCCATTGCTAGCTGCCTGAGTCACAGTCCAAAACCTCACCCATTTACTCTCGACATCTAGAGGAGTGGGGGACGATGCCAACCCCAGCCACAAGCGATGATGAAATTCTCGCTTGCAACTTTCATCAGCTAGCTGAGACCAGGCCACCTTAGGTTTGAATGGGATCCTGGGTGTACACCCACCACCGGGGTGGAAGAATAGCAGGCGCATCTTACAGATGACAAGTTGATGGTTAGAGGGCAGATCAGCTCCCCATTAGGTCCTGGTGTCAAGGACATGGGCCCGCTTCCGCTGTTCCATCACTATGTAGTCCAGTAGATGTTCTTGCTTGGACCCGGCATGCATCCATGATGTTGTGTGGATGCGTCGATGCCGGAACAGCGTGTTGGTAATTACAAGCCCATGGACTGCACAAAAATCTAGCCGCCTCCTACCGTTATTATTGAGCTGATATGGCCCATGCCTTCCAATCACTCCAGACCAGGTGCCAGCATCATGACCAAATCGGGCATTGAAGTCACCCAACAAGATGACTCTATCCCGAAGGGCCACTTTAGCTAGTACCTGTGACAGGAGGTAATAGAAGGCATCTGACTCATCGGCCTTGCCTGCATCTTTACACGGATGTTCGTCTTCGGTGGGGGCATAAGTAACCATGACCACCACTCCTCGCCTCCGGTTGATGGGAAGGCGAGCCCAAAGTAGACTGGGGCATTCAACTTCCCACACCTCACCGCCATGCTCCCACGCCCCCTTCATTATTTTGTTCAGAAGGTGATCTACTCCCTGTTTTTTGGTATTCTCCTGCCCCGAGTAGAGGGCTGTCCACCCCTAATGGTGGCAGGAGCCAGAGCAGTCCACCGGACCTCCGTAAAACCACAGAGATCCAGGCGGTACCGTTCCAGCTCCCGACAGAGGAGTGGCAGACTCTCCTCCGCAGTGAGCGTTCGAACATTCCACGTGGCCATCCGTCGTGGCTTTTTGTTGTTTCTGGAGGAGCCCCGAGGGTAGAGATTAAATCTCCTGGCTCCGCCAAATGGAGTTTGGCCAGGAGACGTCATAGATGTCTGTCCCCCAGGGGCCTCTGGCCCAAGCTTATTAATTAGATATTTTTCACGTGGTGTTGTGGTAATTAATTGAAGGTGAAGAGGTTACCAGCCCCTCGCACCCATCCAGAGCCCCCATTTAGCCGCTGTGGTGGTTACAGCCGCCCTGAGGGGACAGGCCAATCGGAATTGGCCCTTCCCCCCACAGCACTATCCACGACAGCGTTGACCATCCGGCACCACGAGGAGGTAGGGGGTTGTTTTTGCCGCGCACACACACACACGTGTAACACACAGACACTGGGAGGGAGGGAGAGGGAGAGGAGAGGGGGTGGAAGGTGGAAGAAGGAAGAGAGGGAGGGGAGGGAGGAGAGGAGAGGAGAGGGAAGAGAGGAGAGAGAAGAGAGGGTGGGAGGAGAGGGAGGGAGAAGATGGAGGGAGAAGAGGGAGGAGAGAGGGGGGAAAGAGAGGGAGGGATGAGAGGGAGAAGAGGGTGGGAGGGTTCAGAGGGAGGCGGAGAGGGAGGGAGGGGTGGGTGGGAGGGATGAGAGGTGGTAGAGGAGAACGAGAGAGGCAGGGAGGCAGAGGAGGACGGAGGGATGGGATGGGGGAAGGGGGGGTAGGGAGGTAGGGAGGGAGGGGGCAGGGAGGGAGGGGGAAGGGAGGTAGGTCGGGAGGGGGTAGGTAGGGAAGGGGTATGGAGGGAGGGAGGTGGTAGGGAGGGAGGGGGTAGGTAGGGAGGGAGGGGGTAGGTAGAGAGGGAGGGGGTAGGGAGGGAGGGGGTAGGTAGGGAGGGAGGGGGTAGGTAGAGAGGGAGGGGGTAGGTAGAGAGGGAGGGGGTAGGGAGGGAGGGGGTAGGTAGGGAGGGAGGGGGTAGGTAGGGAGGGGGTAGGTAGGGAGGGAGGGGGTAGGTAGGTAGGAGGTAGGGAGGGAGGTGGTAGGGAGGGAGGGGGTAGGTAGGAAGGGAGAGGGTAGGGAGGGAGGGGCTCTCACGGGTAGCCGGTGTAGAGGCAGACGAAGGCGTTGAATTCGGTGACCCAGGCGGAGCTGGAGCACACGCTGTGCCACTCAGAGTCCACCAGGAATTGGGCCACGCCGCTGGGGCCCACGCGGTTCTGCAGGCGAACTGCAGGCACAGAGCGCCGTTAGACCCCCGTTAGACAAGTGGGATGACGAGGATGATGATGAGGATGATGACGGGGCGGATGACGATGATGGGGATGATGATGAGGATGATGACGAGGATGAGGACAGTGGGGCGGATGAGGATGATGACGAGGATGACGATGAGGATTATGATGACGATGATGATGATGATAATGACGACGATGACGACAATGATGCCAATGATGACGTCGATGAGGACGATGATGACGATGATGATAACAATGACGATGATGACGACGATCTCCTACCGCAGTTCTTCTCGTCCGAGGCATCGCTGCAGTCGATGCTGCGGTCACAGACGGCCTCCCGGGGCACGCACTCCAAGTCCTGGCACTGGAACTGTCCCGGAGCGCAGGTCGCTGGGCACAAAGACAAAGATCCCCCGTGTAGCCTTAGCAGACCGGTGGGGCAAGTGCTGTTAGCAAGCAGCAGCAGCAGCACCTATGAAGGCTGGCACGGCTCACAGCTTGGCTGTGAGTCTGGCTGTGAGTGTGGCTGTGAGTGTGGCTGTGAGTCTGGCTGTGAGTGTGGCTGTGAGTCTGGCTGTGAGTGTGGCTGTGAGTCTTGGCCGTGAGTGTGGCTGTGAGTCCTGGCCGTGAGTGTGGCTGTGAGTATGGCTGTGAATCTGGTTGTGAGTTCCACTGTGAGTCTTGGCTGTGAGTCTGGCTGTGAGTGTGGCTGTGAGTCTGGCTGTGAGTGTGGCTGTGAGTGTGGCTGTGAGTTCCACTGTGAGTCTAGCTGTAAGTCTGGCTGTGAGTGTGGCTGTGAGTCTTGGCCATGAGTGTGGCTGTGAGTGTGGCTGTGAATCTGGTTGTGAGTTCCACTGTGAGTCTTGGCTGTGAGTCTGGCTGTGAGTGTGGCTGTGAGTCTGGCTGTGAGTGTTGCTGTGAGTATGGCTGTGAGTGTGGCTGTGATTGTGGCTGTGAGTCTGGCTGTGAGTGCGGCTGTGAATCTGGTTGTGAGTTCCACTGTGAGTCTTGGCTGTGAGTCCGGTTGTGAGTCTGGCTGTGAGTCTGGCTGTGAATGTGGCTGTGAGTCTGGCTGTGAGTCTGCCTGTGAATGTGGCTGTGAGTCTGGCTGTGAGTCTGGCTGTGAGTCTGGCTATGAATGTGGCTGTGAGCATGGCTGTGAATGTGGCTATGAATGTGGCTGTGAGTGTGGCTGTGAATGTGGCTGTGAGTTCCACTGTGAGTCTTGGCTGTGAGTCTGGCTGTGAGTCTGGCTGTGAATGTGGCTGTGAGTATGGCTGTGAGTATTGGCTGTGAGTCTGCCTGTGAATGTGGCTGTGAGTCTGGCTGTGAGTCTGGCCGTGAGTCTTGGCTGTGAGTCTGGCTGTGAGTATGGCTGTGAGTGTGGCTGTTAATCTGCCTGTGAGTTCAACTGTGAATCTGCCTGTGAGTCTGGCTGTGAGTTCCACTGTGAGTCTGGCTGTGAGTCTTGGCCGTGAGTGTGGCTGTGAGTCTGGCTGTGAGCCTGGCTGTGAGTCTGGCTGTGAGTCTTGGCCGTGAGTGTGGTTGTGAGTCTGGCTGTGAGTCTGGCTGTGAGTGTCGCTGTGAGTTCCACTGTGAGTATTGGCTGTGAATCTGGCCGTGAGTGTGGCTGTGAATCTGGTTGTGAGTTCAACTGTGAATCTGCCTGTGAGTCTGGCTGTGAGTTCCACTGTGAGTCTGGCTGTGAGTCTTGGCCGTGAGTGTGGTTGTGAGTCTGGCTGTGAGTCTGGCTGTGAGTGTGGCTGTGAGTTCCACTGTGAGTCTTGGCTGTGAGTCTGGCCGTGAGCGTGGCTGTTAATCTGGTTGTGAGTTCAACTGTGAATCTGCCTGTGAGTCTGGCTGTGAGTTCCACTGTGAGTCTGGCTGTGAGTCTTGGCTCTGAATCTGGCTGTGAGTGTGGCTGTGAGTCTGGCTGTGAGTTCCACTGTGAGTCTTGGCTGTGAATCTGGCCGTGAGCGTGGCTGTTAATCTGGTTGTGAGTTCAACTGTGAATCTGCCTGTGAGTGTGACTGTGAGTGTGGCTGTGAGTCTGGCTGTGATTCTGGCCGTGAGTGTGGCTGAGAGTGTGGCTGTGAGTCTGGCTGTTAATCTGGTTGTGAGTGTGGCTGTGAGCACGCCTGAGCCCGTCCGTACGTGGCATGCCGAGCCGCACGCCGGTGCTGAAGTTGGCACTGAAGCCGGCGCTGTTGATGGAGCTGTCGCTGGTGAACCTCACGGTCATGGCGTTCACCGTGCTGAACACGTCCTCTCGCGGGCCCGAGCCCGTGTACCGGCCTGCGCACCCGCACAGAGGCAAGGGTCCCCCGTATAGCCTCCACAGACGGCAGGCGCAAGTGGCGCTCGCGAGCGAGCGGCGGGGGGCGGCCACCGGAGCCGCCGCGCCATCGCTACGGCACGGCACGGCGAGCGAGCGAGCGAGCGTGGTGCGGTGTGCGACCGGGCTCCGCGTAAGCCACCCGCCGGCGCCCAGGGTTCGCAACGGGAATTTCCGGAATCGTCTCCCGAAACGTGCGCGCGTGTGGTGTGCGTGCGTGTGTAAGCGTGTGTGTATGTGTGTGCGTGTGGGTGTATGCGTGTATGCATGTGTGCGTGTGTGTGTATGCGTGTGTGTATGTGTGTGTATGCGTGTGTATGTGTGCGTGTGTATGCGTGTGTGTATGTGCGTGTATGCATGTGTGCGTGTGTGTGTATGCGTGTGTGTATGTGTGTGTATGTGTGCGTGTGTGTGCGTGTGGGTGTATGCGTGTATGCGTGTGTGTGTATATGCGTGTATGCATGTGTGCGCGTGTGTGTGTATGCGTATGTGTGCATGTGTATGCGCGCGTATGTATGCGTGTGTATGTGTGCGTGTGTATGCGTGTGTATGTATGCGTGTGTGCATGTGTGTTTATGCGTGTGTGCGTGTATGCGTGTGTGCGTGTCTATGTATGCGTGTGTATGTGTGCGTGTGTATGCGTGTGTATGTGTGCGTGTGTATGCGTGTGCGTGTGTGAATGTGTGTGTGGTGAGTGTGTGGTGAGCGTGTGCGTGTGTGTGTGCGTGTGTAGGGTGTGTGTATGTGCATGTGCGCGTGTGTGTGTGTGTGCGTGCGTCACCGATGAGTGGGGCGTCGGAGCCGTGCCCGTCGCGCAGCTCCACGTAGTCGTAGTTGTTCTCGAGGCTGAAGAGGCTGAAGTGCAGCAGCACGTTCTTGCCCTCGTCGGCCAACAAGTACCACGTGCCTGCAGAGCAGACGTGCAGAGGCAGAGGGAGGGTAGGTAAGAATTTCAACCTAAGAATTTCAACCTCAACCAACTACAGTCCTCCGCTCTACCAACTGAGCAGGGAGATGCGCACGCGGGCACATGGGGAGAGGGAGACGTGGTGAGAGAGAGACATGGGAGAGAGAGAGAGAGAGACATGGGGAGGGAGAAAGAGAGAGACACACACATGTATGGGGAGAGAGAAACGTGGGGAGAAAACGAGACGTGGGGAGAGTGAGATATTTGGGGAGAGAGTTCCAAGCGGATTTTATGTGGCCAGGTTAGAATTAGAGACTAGGATAGGAGTCTCATTTGTTTCAGGAGGCGATGGTTGCTCTGTGGTCTAGCCTAGGTCACTCCCAGTGGCATATCTCCCTGTACATCAGTCTGCTGCCAGTAGGAGGCGATGGTTGCTCTGTGGTCTCGCCTAGGTCACCCCCAGTGGCAGCTCTCCCTGTACATCAGTCTGCTGCCAGTAGGGGGCGATGGTTGCTCTGTGGTCTAGCCTCGGGGCACCCCCAGCGGCAGCTCTCCCTGTACATCAGTCTGCTGCCAGTAGGGGGCGATGGTTGCTCTGTGGTCTCGCCTAGGTCACCCCCAGTGGCAGCTCTCCCTGTACATCAGTCTGCTGCCAGTAGGTGGCGATGGTTGCACTGTGGTCTAGCCTAGGTCACCCCCAGTGGCAGCTCTCCCTGTACATCAGTCTGCTACCAGTAGGAGGCGATAGTTGTTCTGTGGTCTCGCCTAGGTCACCCCCAGTGGCAGCTCTCCCTGTACATCAGTCTGCTGCCAGTAGGGGGCGATGGTTGCTTTGTGGTCTAGCTTCGGGGCACCCCCAGCGGCAGCCGTGGCCGCAACCCGCGGGGGCCGATGCGGCGCTCACAGTCGGCGTTGTCCATGTAGGCGAAGGGGAATCTCGGCGACGTGAAGGTGACGTTCGGCTCACGCAGCTCGTGGGGGCCGCCGCAGTCCCCTGCGGGCCAAACAAAAATAAACCAAACGGCACCGCGGTCAAGGCCCCCCCCCCACCCCGCGCCAGTCGGCAGACAAACCACGGCGGCCGCGGCGCCGGTGGCGGTGATGTTGATGATGGTAGTCACGGTGGTGGCGGTGGTGGCGGTGGTGATGGCGGCGGTGGTGGCGGCGACGGGAATGGCGGTGGTGGCGGCAGTGGCGGCGATGGTGACAGCAGTGGCGGTGGCGGTCGGTGATGTTGGTGGCGGTGGTGGTGGCGGTGACGGTGGGGTGATGGCGGTTTCGACAGTGATGACTGCGAGTTATACGTGTCGACACTTAGGGTGATGCATAGACGACACGGGCCTCTCCGCAAGTCCACACGGGCCTCTCCGCAGGGCCTCTAGGCAAGTCCACACGGGCCTCTCCGCAGGGCCTCTAGGCAAGTCCACACGGGCCTCTCCGTTAGTCCACACGCCGAAGAGGCCCCACCGCCCCGGCGGGACGAGAGACTCACGGGGGGGGGGGAGGGGGAGTCGTCGTGGGCACCGGCGTCGTGATGATGAAGGGGGTGGGCTCGGGGTAGGGCGACTCCGGGCAGGCCCCGGGCTCCAGGGAGATGTCGTCGAGAGCCACCTCGCTTTCGCTCGCCCTGCGCCGCGCCTCGAACACCACCTGGGAGTAGAGTGGATAACCCGTTATTAAACAGTGCCCCCTAGTGGTGAGATGTTAACTCCCTCGCCTGGTATACAGGAGGTCGTGGGTTCGATCCTGACCCTGACGCCTGCTGTAAATTTGGAGTTTGCGTGTCTCTCTCTCTCTCTCTCATCATCATCACGGTGGCTAGGAGATGTTAACTACCTCGCCTGGTATGGAGGAGGTTGTGGGTTCGATACTATCCCTGACGTTTGTTGTGTGTGTGTGTCTCCCTCTCTCTCTCTCTCTTCCAGTGGTCGTGTGGATTTTTCTCCGGGTCCTCCGATTTTTCCCCTCCACATTTAGAAATGAACGTCACACGTACATTTCCACGCGATAATGAGAAGCCGCCACTTCGTTGAGCCAGGGTCGCTTTTGAAAAAGAGCTGCATAGGCTCAGTGTGGTCTTGCCTGGTAAAATAAAAACAGTGGGAAGGGGAAAAAAAACCACCCCAAGACGAACCAACATAATTTACCCACTCAGGAAAGCGCCGGCATCGGCACGCGGTGTTTCCAATTTGCCAAATTCGAAGAATGACACCGCGAGTTACTCATTTGGCATCGCACTCACACACAGCACCAAACCTCGCCAACCTCTACCGATGGCAGCGGAATTAGACGCCCGCTCGCAGGCCAGGTGCCACACAGGGACAGCTGTCACTGGGGGTGCCCCTAGGCTGGACCACGTAACAATCATCACCCCCCCCCCCCCGCCGCCTACTAATAACAGACTCATGCTCCTTAGAAGGACAGGCGCCGAGTCCAAGTCGTGCCACACTACGACACAAGGACAGCTGACACTGGGGGTGCCCCTGGGCTAGACCACAGAGCAACCATCACCTTCTCCTGGCAGCAGACTGATCTACAGAGAAAGCTGCTAATGGGGGTGCCCCCAGGCTAGACCACAGAGCAATCACCGCCTCCTACTGGCAGCAGACTAATGTACAGGTTGAGCTGACACTGGAGTGACCTCGGCTAGACCACAGAGCAATCAACGTCCCCCGACTGACAGCAGTCTTGACACCCGCCGCTCACACGCCAGATGCCGAGTCAGCCTTGTGCCGCGGCAGGGACCGCTGGCACCGGAGGGGGGGGGGGGGGGGGTGGGTGCCTCGTCGAACGTGCCGAGAAGCGACGTCGTAGTGCTCCGGGACAGCCGCGACGCATAGGGCGAGGGCGGCATTGCCCAAGGACAAACTCGAGACGTCACGATTAAACGCAGAGAGGGGGGCACCTGGCATCGGCGGGGCAGCTGTGCATGGTCACAGCAGAGCTCTCGGGCGCGCGATCATCGACGGCCCTTCCCCATCGGACCGCGGGTGGCAAAAGCAGGCGCCAGGCCTGGTCAGGCCCAGGCCTAGCGCCTGCTTTTGTGGTATCGGGCGGCTTGACCCACGCTCGACGCGGATGATCGGCGAGGGCCGGCTGTGTCTCGCTAGGCCCGCTAGGCCCCGGGCCGAAGCCTGCGACCGATTCATTGCTAATGAACGAAGAAGGAAGGAGTGGCGGTCGGACCTGGAAGCTCTGCGATTGGTTGAAGGAGAGCTGCCCGTAGTTCCACTGGTTGCCGTAGTTGCCCTCCTTGAACCACAGGGGAACGTCGGCCGCTCCCTCCGTCCGCAGGGACAGGGAGAGGCGATAGACGTTCCGCCCATACATGTGGTACCTGCGGACAGGAAACACACAGCGGGGATACAAGAGACACAGGTATGAAGATATGGGACACACAGGGAGATGTACAGGGACACACACACAGAGGGACACACACAGAGACACACTAACGCCGACCTCGCATATGCCCATTTGCTTCAACGTTGGGTTACGTTTGGCCAAGCGATGACGTTACGTTTGGCCAACTAAACATTGGCCAAACGTAATGCTCCGATTGCTCTTTGCTTATTTTGCCCTGCGGTATTTTGTGGCCTCAGAATGAAAAGAATAAATTACAATGGGAGACGTTTTGGGCAATGGCCCTTCTTCATGGCACATTCATGTGTCGCCTATTATGTCAGTCGGCAAGTTACTCGGTGACTTGGCAAGGAATGAACGGGTAGAATGTAATTATCTACAACTTTAATATTGATAACATCAATGAAAGTAAATTGCCTTAATAACAAATTGTATTACATGTGAACAAAGTAAATACACTTACCTGAGCCACAGTCCGGTTGAAAAACATGGAGTGACGAAGTCATGGTGGCCATATTGCATGGGGGTCGTCATGGCGCCCATGCAATATGGAGGCTGTAATGTTGGCCATGTTGCATGAGTAACTTCACGGTGGCCATGTTGCATGGGGAACATCATGGTTGCCATGTTGCATGGGGGACGTCATGGCAACCACATTGCATGGAGCTTTCTTCCTAGCAGCCGATTGGCCAGTGCGGTGAGAGTGATGATGCAATCCCTAGCAACTACTGCCTTGCCCCGGGATTTGCGATCTCACCTCGGATTAACATTTTTTACAACAAAAATCACGGTTTATCCCACGGAGTTTTGGGGTCTACTGCATTGCCTATACTTGGGGCCTCCTAGTTCCCAGCCAACTCCACGCAGCTCTACGGAGTCTGTAAGGGCGCAGGAGCACGAGTAAAAAGTACATGCCCCTCGACACATTTGTGTCTCTGCAGCTTCCAGTTGTGGTGACAACTTCCAGTTCACGGCAGCGTCGAGGAGCTTCAACCCCGTGGACTTCCCCCAGGAAGCTAAAACAACAACAACAACACAAACTGCCGCTGGATCGTTGAGTGGGCGCGTGGGCGAGCGGGTGTGCGGGTGGGTGGGTAGGTGAGTGCGCGAATCGAATTAGTGGGCGAGTGCATGAGTGAGAGGTTGAGTGAGCAGGCAAGTTACGGAGCAACTTGGCAAAGGGATGAGTGAATGAGTGGCGCGTCAGAGCTGTGTCCATCATCATCAAATGCACTCTGACTTTCACGAAACCTCTAAAGCCCTCTATCTGTCTGGGCCAGGCTTTCGAGCAGCCCCGAGATTGGCTCCCGCGCCTCTGAGTTGTTGACGCGTCTGCAAAATCTGGCGCGTTATAAATGTCATTATTATTATTACAGCTACCCACACCCTCTACACGGCTCCGCCTGTACAGCAATTGCAAAGGGGGCTGCTCGTGAAGGGCAACGCGCGGTCGCATTCACCAGAACTTGAGGCACGTGGGGTTGGGTTCGGGGTCCAAGGTAAATGTGCGGATGCTCGTGGCGATGCCGCTGTTCTGGTTCCGGATGTAGAACCCTGCGGAGGGGGGGGGGGGGGGGGGGGGTGGGAAATCAGGAAGAACAATCATGCAAACGCACGGTTCTGTAACAAGACTTCGTGCATAAGTGTGGCACGGGCTGTTAAGTAGGGGAGCGGCAGTGTAGCGGTTTGATTCCTGCTCATGGCCAACACCGGTGGAAATTATTTGAACAGGTCATGGGCCTCCCCCCTAGGTCGACTCAGCCTCAAATGAGTACCTGGTGCGGTGTGTAGTAAACATCGCCACTGGGGTGGACAAAGGCGGCCGGGCGTGGTGCTGGCCACCCATCCCCTCGTGTGCCGTGCCGGCCTTCACAGGTGCTGCTCACTCACAGCACTTGCCCCAACAGTCTGTTACAGACTATAAGGGGAATCTTTGTCTATGTAAGTAGGGGTCTAAGATAAGCCCCCCCTCCCACATCCCCCCATTTAAAAAGTCACATGAGGGTAAGATGACTGGTCAGGACTCTTAAGTATTTTACTTGTCTAGGCCAGCGGTTCTCAACCGGGGGTACGTAGACCTCAGGGGACACGTGGAAATGTCCGCGGGGAGGTGTGTGAGGGCGAGTTATGAATGTGCGAAATTGTACCGTACATGACAGCCACTGGATGAATAATCACGTCGCATGAGTCCGCCAAGATAAAATAACGACGGAAAACAGGTGAATCCATATGGTGACCCAGAGCGATAATAGAGACCCTTTGTGAACTCATTGATGGCAAACAATGTTGGGTTTCCAAGAGCAACCGGCGAGCCCCGAGCAAATGACGTCACGCATTGCTCGGCTTCGGTTTACGCTTTCCCTTTTGCTTATCAATTCGCTTCCAAGTTACTCAGCTCGTCGGGGTATACCTCGCAAAGTGTACGATTGGTGAAAACATCGACGATGTTCACGAGTCATACATTCATAACAGCCGCCAACAGAAACCTTTACAACCACCGCTCTTAAGCATTTGACTTGCATGGGCAATGCAACGCTGATTGCTTCGGCGCAATCCGTTGCACCGCGTGTGAAGCACCAAATCAAAGAGAAGGGGAGCCGATGGCAACCCACGTGCATGTTGCTGTACAGCACGCGGGCCAAGAGCCGAGAGAGTCACGGAGAGGGTATAACATCAAAGTGTGGAAACTGCAGTTGATCATAGATAATCATCGGGCTGCGTCCAACAGTAATCCGGCTGTTGTCTTTGTACAACTGTGATGGGACTTTGTGGGATGAACGTTGACACTTATAAGGGGCATGGGGTGGCCAATAAGATCTGAATTGGTCTGTAATAAGGTAGGGCACTGATAAGGCGTTTACAGCTATGTAGTAGTGTAGTGTTAAGTGTAGTGTATATTAGTGTATAGTGTAGTGTATAGTAGGATATAGTGTCGTGTATAGGATGAACGTTGACATTTATAAGGGGCACGGGGTGGCCAATGAGGCCTGAATTGGACTGTAATAAGGTAGGGCACTGATAAGGGGTTTACAGCTATGTAGTAATGTCGTGTATAGTGTAGTGTATAGTGTAGTGTATAGTGTCGTGTATAGTGTAGTGTATAGTGTAGTGTATAGTGTAGTGTATAGTGTAGTGTATAGTGTAGTGTATAATGTCGTGTATAGTGTAGTGTATAGTGTAGTGTATAGTGTACAGTATAGTGTAGTTTATAGTGTAGTGTATAGTAGTGTATAGTGTAGTGTATAGAATGAACGTTGATAATTATAAGGGCACGAGGTGACCAGCAAGATCTGAATTGTTGACATTTATAAGAGCACGGGGTGACTAGGCCACTGATAATGGGTTCACAGGCATGATAACACTACGGCACATGTCGCTTTAATGTGGTTGTTGCGGAAATATTTATGGTACTGTATCCAATCACGGTCGTTAGTTAATATTAAAGCGGCGAGTTCACCAAGGTGGTCATCGTGTTGCGCCATCGTCAGGAGAGTTAACGCCGCGAAGGCCGTCAACATTGCTTGAAAACTGCCAATAATACCGTTGGATCTTTACAGTGCATAGTGCGTAAATAGGGGACTCGAAAAATGGACGGCAACGGTATTTTGGCGGGAAATAACCGGTGTAGGTGTTAACTCCGGTGTTGGTGTTAACTCCGGTGTAGGCATTCATATTCTTAGCTCTTTTGGTAAAGCCACGTTGAAGGGAAACAATAAAATATATATAAAACAATTAAAATTCTCACGACGTTTCGACCATAACACAAACGGTCGTCATCAGGTGTAGGTGTTAACAACGGTGTAGGTGTTAACAACGGTGTAGATGTTAACTCCGGTGTTGGTGTTTACAACGGTGTAGGTGTTAACAACGGTGTAGGTGTTAACAACGGTGTAGATGTTAACAACGGTGTAGGTGTTAACAACGGTGTAGGTGTTAACTCCGGTGTAGGTGTTATCAACGGTGTCGGTGTTAACAACGGTGTCGGTGTTAACAACGGTGTAGGTGTTAACAACGGTGTAGGTGTTAACAACGGTGTAGGTGTTAACTCCGGTGTAGGTGTTAACAACGGTGTCGGTGTTAACTCCGGTGTAGGTGTTAACTCCGGTGTCAGTGTTAACTCCGGTGTAGGTGTTAACAACGGTGTCGGTGTTAACAACGGTGTAGGTGTTAACAACGGTGTAGGTGTTAACAACGGTGTAGGTGTTAACAACGGTGTCGGTGTTAACTCCGGTGTAGGTGTTAACTCCGGTGTCAGTGTTAACTCCGGTGTAGGTGTTAACAACGGTGTAGGTGTTAACTCCGGTGTAGGTGTTAACTCCGGTGTTGGTGTTAACAACGGTGTAGGTGTTAACAACGGTGTAGGTGTTAACAACGGTGTAGGTGTTAACTCCGGTGTTGGTGTTAACAACGGTGTAGGTGTTAACAACGGTGTAGGTGTTAACAACGGTGTAGGTGTTAACTCCGGTGTAGGTGTTAACAACGGTGTAGGTGTTAACTCCGGTGTCGGTGTTAACAACAGTGTAGGTGTTAACTCCAGTGTAGGTGTTAACAACGGTGTAGGTGTTAACTCCGGTGTAGGTGTTAACTCCGGTGTAGGTGTTAACTACGGTGTAGGTGTTAACAACGGTGTAGGTGTTAACTCCGGTGTAGGTGTTAACTCCGGCCACCAGTGGTGATGGTGAAGCCAGCGTCATGGCGGGAGTGATGGCGGCCGGGCGTCTTTCTATTTCATTGTTACCCGGCGTGAGGCCCCACTAGGCTGCTGTGTAGCTCTCCATCGGAAGCGACCCTGGCCGTCGCAAATGATAGCTCACCATCGTCGTCGCCGTCATCATCACGCGGGAGTTTACCGCGGGCAAATAATCTAGACGCGTTGGTGACGTCGATTCCAAACGTGGAGGGGAAAAAAAAAACGGAAGACCCGGAGAACGATCCACGTGGCCATAGGGGAGAACACGCCAACTCCAAATATACAGCAGCAGGCGTCAGAGCGGCAGGGTCGAACCCAGGACCTCCTGTATACTCGGCGAGGAAGTTAACATCTCCTAGCCACCGTGGCGCCCTAGCGAGAGCTAGCCGGTGACTTACAGCATGTGCTGTAACACGTGGGCTCACAGCTGAGCGTGACGTTCTACCAACAGTACAGATAAATGTGGAGTCACCGGAACTGGACGTGAAATGCTCTCCTGATCGGAAGTCCTAACCATACGCATCGTTTAGTACCCAAGGCGTCCTGCACACCCACGGTTTTGTAACAAGACTGACAAGACGAGCTTGGCTTCACAGCACTGCTCCCCGATCTCTACTCTTCGGCAACCCCTCGTGCGGGAAAACACAAGCCTCTGCGTGCGTGTGTGCGTGCGCACCTGACGAGTTCCCAAAGGTGTGGTCCACGTCCGGGCCGGTGTTAGCTGGAGAGCTGGGCCCGCTCAGCCGCTCCCAGTCGGCGCTGTCGTAGGGGTCCTGGTCCCAGTAGCACCAGCCCGACTCGAAGGAGCAATCCACCAGCTCCTTGTCTGCACACAGACAAAGAGTGGGTGAGTGAGTGGATGAGGATGGGTTGTGTGGTTGTGTGTGTTGGGCGGGTGAGTGAGCTAGTGGGTGAGTGGGTGGGTGAGTGAGCGGGTGAGTGAACTAGTGGGTGAGTGGGTGGTTGAGTACTCGTTAGTTCGGATAAAAAGTCTATCCCTGTGAAGGGAGTGAACGGGTGAGTGAGTGGGTGAGTCAGTGAGCGGGTGAGTAAACTAGCATGTGACTGAGCGAGTGAGTGAGTGGGTGATTGGTTAAGAACTCCTGAGTCCGGAAAAGTCTAGCACGATGAAGGGAGTGAGTAAGTGGGTGAGTGGGTTAGTAAGCGGGCGAGTGAGTAAACTAGCAGGTGAGTGAGCAAGTGGGTGAGTGAGTGGGTGAGTGAGTGGGCGAGTGGGTGAATAAGCGAGCAGGTGAGTAAACTGGTGAGTGAGTGAGTGGGTGAGTAAGCGAGCGAGTGAGTAAACTAGCAGGTGAGTGAGCGAGTGGGTGAGTGAGTGGGTGAGTCAGTGAGTGAGCGAGTGGGTGAGCAAGCGGGCGAGTGAGTAAACTAGCAGGTGAGTGAGCGAGTGGGTGAGTGAGTGGGTGAGTCAGTGGGTGAGTGGGTGAATAAGCGAGCGGGTGAGTAAACTGGCGGGTGAGTGAGCGAGTTGGTGAGTGAGTGGGTGAGTCAGTGGGTGAGTGGGTGAATAAGCGAGCGGGTGAGGAAACTGGCGGGTGAGTGAGCGGGTGGGTGAGTGGGTGGTGAAATACTCGTGAGTTGGGAGAAGTCGAATGCGGTGAAGGAGACGCTGAAGCCTCCTCGCACTTGGCTGCTGTCGGAGGTGAACTCCACGGTGAGCTCGTGAGCGAAGGCCCGCACGTCGCCAGGGTTCGTCGTTCCCGTCAACGAAGCTGTCACAGGGAGAGAGAGAGAGAGACAGAGAGGGAGACCAGCTCAAGTCTTTTCCGAACCCCTGTTTCAGATCCCGGAGAAGCTCCCCTCTAGGGGGTAGGCACAGGTGGGGGGGGGGGAGGGTGCAGGTGGAACGAAAGGTCAGACGTTGCAGCGATCGTTCGTTTGTTCGACGGACAGACGGACGGTTATCAGATGCACGGACGGCAGAGCGCGCTCACCCAGCCTCTCCTTGGCGGCGCCAATCCCCTTGTAGATGTTGACAAAGTCGTACCGGTCTTCGAGCTCAAACGCCGAGAAGGTGAACTGGACGGCGTAGCCCTCAGGGGCGCTGTTGGAATAACGGCACGGTGGTCAGGACCGTCGCCGGCACAAGCCGGCTTCAGAGGAAACGTCCGGGGTGAGGGCGCGTCTTAGTCATTCACTCACTCACTCACTCACCCGTCCACTAACTCATTCGCCCACTCACTCCCTCACCCACTCACTCACTCACTCACTGACTCACTCACTGACTCACTCACTCGCTCAATCACTCACCATTCACTCACTCGCTCACTCGCCCACACACTTGCTCACCCACCCACTCACTCACTCACCCACCCACCCACTCACTCACTCTCCTACCCACTCACTCACTTACTCACTCACTCACTCACCCATTCACTCACCCATTCACCCACTCGCTCACTCGCCCACACACTCGCTCACTCACTCACTCACTAACTCATTCGCCCACTCACTCCCTCACCCACTCACTCACTCTCCAACTCACTCACGAGCTCGACCACCCCGCACGCCCAAATACCCCCCTACCCACCGTATGAGCCAGCGGCAGTTGGCGTCGTTCTCGTAGTTGTTGGGGAAGTTCATGGAGTTGAAGCTCCCGGACGTTCCCGTGAACAGGAAGTTGTCGTCACAACTCGACGCTGCAGAGAGACACACGTGTGTCGAGGGTCACGGACGTTCCTAGCATGTCCTTACGGACCACGTAGAGCTGGCAACCAGGAGGCCCCGGGTATAGCCAATGCTCGTAACATCCAGCTAGGCTGTAATTGTAGTGGTCTCCGAAATACCGTGGGATAAGCTGTGATTTTTTCGTGGTTAAATATGTGAATCCGAGTAAGGTCATGAATCTGGCAGACATGGCGCATCCGTCATATACACAGCCCTCTCTCTCCTCGTGTGCCCTGGACAGAAGTCCGTTCAGCATGGGCGAGTGGGCCCAACAAAACCCTGGAGAGGGGGCGGCTTTGTCGAGCTCCCTGCCTCCAGCGGGGGCTTTGCACCGACAGGGCATTGCAGGGTGCCGCAGTGGCCAGGAGATGTCATCTTCCTGGCCTGGCATGCAGGAGACCGTGGGCTCGATCCCGGACCCTGATGAAGCCTGTCGTATGTATGGAGTCCGCTCGCTCTCTCTCTCTCTCTCCCCGTAGTGGTCGTGTGGACCGTTCTATAGATTCCTCCGGTTTTGCCCCACCCCCCTGCTCCACATCGAGAAACGTGCACTTAAGATTATTTCGCTGCCACTATAAATTGTTCCCACACGTAATAGGAGTCACTTTGATGAGCTATCATCGCGTGTGTGACCAGGTCGCCTCTCCAACAAAGAGCTAGTAGCTCAGTGGGCTTCGGTAAAATAAAATAATTTCGTGCAAAAATTTATACCGTTTGGTTCTTTCGGTAAAGTCACGTAGGTAGAGATAAAATCATATGAAATAAAATCGAACAAATCACGACGTTTCGATCGCGACACAAGCAATCCTCATCAGGTGGAAACACCACTGCAAGAAAAAAATGCCGTGGTGTTCCCGTCTGATGAGGGTTGCTTGTGTCGCGATCGAAACGTCGAGATTTGTTTCATTCTATTCTATTTCTACCCACGTGACTTTACCGAAAGAAACCAAAGAGTATGGATTCCTGCGGTCACGAAAGCTTCAAATCAAGAGTGTAAAATTTAGTTTTAACCCGTACCATATGCGCGGTTTTGTGCGGTCTACCCAGTGCCGTCGGGGGTTCAATATTGGGGATGAAATGCCAACGGGATGAAAGAGGAGGGCGAGGCTGGAGGGGCGTATCCCCCCTCCCTCATCGACGTACTGCAGGAGACTTCGTCGGAGGCGTCGTTGCAGTCGTTGACGCCGTCGCAGTGCGCGGACAGGGGGATGCACGAGATGTCGGCGCACACAAACTGACCCGCGGGACACGGGGCTGCGCGGGCGCACACACAAAGACAAAGACGTGTGTGCGCAAATGCACACACGTTCACACAGAGATTTAGCATCACACAGCGGCCAGGCTGGTGCTGGTGACGGACGCGGGCATTTTCACGGAGCTTACATTGCAGAGTTTCCCTCTCGTGAGACCCTGGGTAATTTGTTGATTAATTAAGTAGATCAGCCTCAAGTAGGCCTATGCCATCCACAACAGGGTAAAGAGACCATGCATAATCGGTTGACTACTAAAATACATAAGCCTTACGTAGGCCAATGGTCTCTACAACAGAATTGTGTGACCCGGCGTAATCCGTTGATGACTAGAATAGATAAGCCTAAAGTAGACCAAAGGTCTCTACAACAGAATGGAGGGACCCGGCGTAATCCGTTGGTGTCTAGAATTGAAAAGCCGAGAGTAGACCAACGGCTTCTACAATAGAATCCTGCCTTGCGTGATCCTACGCTGAGGCAGCTGCACAACCGCTTATTCCTACTCGAGCTACGTAGCAACAATCCAATTCGCATCCGTGGTAGAAAATGTGTTCTCTAATATATTCATCGCATCATATCCAATTCATATTATGAAAACACGTGTTATAGGATAATAGACTGCACTTTTGAATCTGTTTAAGTTTACAATACGTTGAGCTGAAACAGTCACAATCGGCGTGCCGTTAAGACGGCTTGTGTGCCACGTGACCATCGTCTGACCTGTTTGGCTGTGGCGGGGTGGTGGAGGGCCTTGACGACACAAAAGTTTGGCCGGATTACAACGTAGTGGCCTCACTCAAAACCGCCATTACAGAGCACGGTACTGGGCCACGACAAACCCCATCTGTGTTAAACTTTAAATACGAGGCGATTCATCCAGCCACAAGCCACGGAGCAGTGTGGGGGGGAGGGGGACCACTCACGAGTCGTGGGGATTATAGGGGTGGGCTCGGGATAGGGCGCATCCAGGCAGGCCCCAGGCTCCAGCGAGATGTCGTCCAGCGCTATCTCGCTGCTGCCCGCCCTCCGCCGGGCCTCAAACACAACCTGCAATGGAGAAAGAAAAAACGGCAACCGATGCAGAAAGACCTCTTTGTGACCAGGGGTGGTCCTAGACTAGCTTGCCAGCGACTGGCGGTCTAGGTCGAAGCCACGTAATAAGTGCCCCTCCACCCCCAAACCCCAAGGGCAGATCTAGGCTGAGGGTTTTTGGGTCAACTGTGAAAAATTGTGCCCCTATTTTCATTTTTGCCGTATTTTTTTAAACAGAGGCATCATTATTTGGGTTATCCTTCCACGGGAATTTGAAATAATGACATCGTCATTATTTTATGTATTCTTACCTCGAATTTGGCGCCCCCCCCCCTTCCCCCACTTCATTTGGCACCCTAGGCGACCGTCCTAGTTCACCTTTATTGATGGGTCACCCCTGGTTGTAACGCGGTAGGTGCGTTGTTGAAAAGTGCCGTGGTAAGCGAAAACAATTTTCCCACGAGAGCTGCTTAGCTCAATAGGCCTTGGCCAGACAAGTCAATGAGTCTCGATGTAACTTTATAGATCCTTATGTAACTCTACAGAGCTCTATGTAACACGAGATAGATATGTGTTACTCTATTAGACTTTATGAAACAATGGATCTTCCTGTAACTCTATAGATATCTGTGTAACTGTACGGATCTCTACGTAACTCTACCCAACTGCAATGTCCTGTAGCTTCCGGCACTGCCTCGGGCTGTGGTCATTGTGGTAACAGAGCTGCCGGTTCTCAACGGGGCCTTAGCAGCTGGAATAATAAAGCATGAGTTTAATGATCGGACCTGGAAGTTCTGTGATTGGGTGAAGTTGAGCTGCCCGTAGTGCCACTGGTTTCCGTAGTTTCCCTCCTTCTGCCACAGGGGAACATCGGCCGCTCCCTCCGTCCGCAGGGACAGGGAGAGGCGATAGACGTCCACCCCGTACATGTGGTACCTGCGCACAGAGACACACAGGAGGGATGCACAGAGGGATAGAGTCACACATGGGGACACAGAGACGCAGGGATGGACATACACGCAGACACACGGGGGGCGGTAATGGGAGAGAGGTCACGTGGAAGATGCGGATTGCAATGACAGCAGCAGCGAAGGAGTGGGAAGCCGCCTGCCTCGTGGCTGTACGAGATGCGAGAGTGAAGCATTCGGGTACAACACAAACCAACGCTGAAGCTGCCTGTAAACCACGTGACTCCTGATAATGGGGTTTTCCCCTTTTTTCTGGCAACAAAACAGGTGTTGAGATGTTAAAACACCAAACTGAAACCTTTTACAAGTGACTCCTCTGTGGCCACCCCCCGCTCTGAACCCCGCCCATCTACACGACGTCGCCGCCCACTGCGAAAACACACTCTACTCCTCCTCTTCCATACAGCTCCCTTCTGCTCCTTCCTCATCTCCTTCTCCTCGGCCCTCCACTCTCATCGTCTTCATGTTTATCGCCCTCTCGTCATCCATGACATTTTGAGCCCCTCCCCGGTCATCAGTTCTCCCGCCCCGCTCCTTCTTCTCTCTTCCCGCTGCTGCTCACCTTGAGCCCTGTGCCCTCCTTCTCTCTGTCCATCTTGGGGGACTTCCACCCACGGCAACGGCGTTTAACAACAATAACAATAATCGACACCGCCCGGTTCACAATTGGCACAATGTTATTCAGTCACACGAATGGCCGTGACGCGCGGTCGTATTCACCAGAACTTGAGGCACGTGGGGTTGGGTTCGGGGTCCAAGGTAAATGTGCGGATGCTCGTGGCAACGCCGCTGTTCTGGTTCCGGATGTAGAACCCTGCGGAGGGGGGGGGGGACACCAGGAAGAACAATCATGCAAAGGCACGGATTCCAAATGCTGTCCGACATGCGGTTGTCCATTTAGCGCTCGTTATTTTATCTCTCTCCCAGGTGCGCACCTGACGAGTTCCCAAAGGTGTGGTCCACGTCCGGGCCGGTGCTGGCTGGAGAGCTGGGACCGCTCAGCCGCTGCCAGTCGGCGCTGTCGAAGGGGTCCTGGTCCCAGTAGCACCAGCCCGACTCGAAGGTGCAATCCACCAGCTCCTTGTCTGCACGCAGACAAAGAGTGGGTGAACTAGTGGGGTGGGCAGGGGTGGGTAGGGGGCAAAACTTGTGAGTCAAACGCAGTGAAGGGTGTAAGTAAGTGCACACAGACAAAGAGTGGGTGAGCTGGTGAGCCGGTGGGCGAGCGGGTGAGTGAGTGTGAGTGGGCCACGCTGCTCTCAATGGCCGTACTTGTGAGTCCCGAGAGGTTGAACGCGCTGAAGGATACGCTGAAGCCGCCATATGTCTGGAGGCTGTTGGAAGTGAACTCCACGGTGAGCTCGTGGGCGAAGGCCCGCACGTCGCCGGGGTTGCTGACTCCGGTTAACGAAGCTGTCACACGAAGAGAGAGAGAGAGAGACAGACGTGGGGAGAGAGGGACAGAGAGAGAGACGGAGAGAGATGGAGACACGCACACGACAAAGACACGGAGAGAGACACGGAGAGCGGAAGGGAAAACCAACGCTTGATGCCAGTTCATTGATAACACGGCGGTGACCGAGTGGCGTGCATTGGTGGCTTCTGAAAAGATGTTGCTGAAGCGAAGCGAGCGATCGTTTGTGGACGGCTGTCGGACCCGTAGATGGCACAATGCGCTCACCCAGCCTCTCTTTGGCGGCGCCAATCCCCTTGTAGATGTTGAAAAAGTCGTACCGGTCTTCGAGCGCAAATGCCGAGAAGGTGAACTGGACGGCGTAGCCCTCCGGGGCGCTGTTGGGAATAACGGCACGGTGGTCAGGACCGTCGCCCGGCACAAGCCGGCTTCAGAAGAAACGCGCGGGGGGAGGGTGAGTGGGTCGCATGTTGATGAGGGGATGAAAGGAATGGCCCCGGGCCAGCACCCACCAGCCCATCCACTCACCCACCCACCCACTCACCCATTCACTTACTCAATCACCCACCCACTCACTCACCCACCCACCCACTCACTCACTCACCCACTCACTCACCCACCCACTCACTCACTCACCCACTCACTCACTCACTCACCCACCCACCCACTCACCCACCCACTCACTCACTCACCCACCCACTCACTCACCCACCCACCCACTCACTCACTCACCCACTCACTCACTCACTCACCCACCCACTCACTCACCCACCCACTCACTCACTCACCCACCCACTCACTAACTAACTCACTCACCCACTCACTCACCCACCCACTCACTCACCCACCCAACCCAACCACCCACCGGATGAGCCACCGGCAGTTGGCGTTGTTGTCGTAGTTGCCGGGGAAGTTCATGGAGTTGAAGCTCCCGGATGTCCCCGTGAACAGGAAGTTGTCATCACAACCGGAAGCTGCAGAGAGACACACGTGGCTTGAGGGTCACGGACGTACCTCCTGTGCCCTTACGAACCCCAGCCAAAGATGGCTGGGAACCAGGAGGCCCCAGGTATAGGCAATGCGTGTAACATCAAGGTAGGCTGCCATTGTAGTTGGCTCCGAAATACCGTGGGATAGGCCGTGATTTTGTGTTGTTAAATATGCGAATCCGATTAAAGATCATGAATCTGGGGGCAAGACAGTGGTTGCTAGGGATTTCGTCATCACTCCCACTGCACTGGCCAATCAGCTGCCAGGAAAATAGCCCGATGCTACGTGGCCGTCCCCCATGCAACATGGGCGCCATGACGACCCCCATGACGTCATCACTCCATGCGTTTCAACCGGTCTGTGGCTGAGGTAAACATATTTACTTTATTCATATGTATTAAATGTGTTATTAAGGCAATTATTGATGTTATCAATATTAAAGTTGCAAGTTATTATTGTTCCGCTCATTTATTATCGGTTTACTGTTTGCTATACTCTTTGGTTCTTTCGGTAAAAATCACGTAGGTAAAAAAATAATAGATCACGACATTTCAATCGCAACACAAGCAACCGTCATCAGGTGAAACAAACGCAGCAGGAGAACTGCTGACAATTGGCGCAAAGAGCGATATCCCAACCCACCGCGAGTTTTCCTTCCGAAGCTCAACGAGCTTCAGTGTTCCCCAACTCCCTTGGGTGCCACGGTAACGGGTGCCATGGTAACGGGTGCCATGGTAACGGGTGCCATGGTAACGGGTGCCACACGGTAACGGGTGCCACACGGTAACGGGTGCCACACAGTAACGGGTGCCACACGGTAACGGGTGCCACACGGTAACGGGTGCCACACGGTAACGGGTGCCACACGGTAACGGGTGCCACACGGTAACGGGAGCCCCGGCGAGTCACTGCTCACGCCGCGTTCAGGGTCGCGCGAGCCGTCCTGTCGCCCTTGAGGAGGGCGAGACCAGAGCGGTAACTCCTCCCCCTTCACCCACGACTTACTGCAGGAGACTTCGTCGGAGGCGTCGTTGCAGTCGTTGACGCCGTCGCAGCGCGCGGACAGGGGGATGCACGAGATGTCGGCGCACACAAACTGACCCGCGGGACACGGGGCTGCGCGGGCGGACACACAAAGACAAAGGTCCCCCGTGTAGCCTTGACAGACTTTTTGGGGGCAAGCGCTGCTCGTGAGCACCGAACGAAGGCCGGCACGGCGTACAGGGGGGGGTGGGTTGGCGAGCACCACGCCCGACCGCCTTTGTCTCCCGAGCGGCGGTGTTTGCACACCGCAGCAGGTGCTCATTTGAGGCACAGTCGACCTAGGTGAAGCCCAGAAACCGTTCAGATCATCGTTACTGGTGTTTGGCTCAATTTCTCATTCGGACACTGCATCGAAACTGGACCCAAAGAGTAGCAAACGTAGAAGTAAGAAGGAGGCTGCACATTAAAGAATGTTAGAGCCTTGGCTTCAGTGTTAGGCACAATCGTGAAGCTCCCCCAAGGCTGCTCGTGTGTCCAATGTATTTTAAACCTTTTTGTTTATCTTAAAAGCTTGTCTAAGCTAAGCTCGTCTAATCACCTGATTGGCACGGCATGATTACCACCGGCACGATCTGGCTCATGACTAGCCCACTGCGGGCTGCACCCAGCTCGCCCTAGCTGAAGCTCAGCCTATTACATCATCCAGTTGATGGGACAGTACTACTGCTATTACTGCCTGGCCAACTAGAAACTGCACCTGCCCATCTCGGCCTGTGACCTGCTCACTGTGGTTTGTGCCCAGTCCTTCATGGTGAAGCTCAGTTTGCCTTATCATCTGGGCTTCTGGTGTTTGAACATCACTAGGGAGGCATGAGCCTGCTTAAGGCAGCGCAACTCAAGCAAATAGTGGTTTACGCCCCTTCACCACGTATACCTCAGTGTCTGCTTCTCTACTGACTTATTGCGGCACCTACAGGACCTGGCAGGAATCGGAGGCACCGCCTCGCAGTGGAACGGATCTTTGCTGCAGGGCAGGACCCAGCTGGTAGCCTTGGATCCCCATGCAACCCCTGATGAACCCACCCCTTGCAGCATCCCTCAGGGGTCAGTTTTATCTCCCCTTTTATTCAATGTCTATGTTAGGCCACTGGGAGCCATCATCCGGAGGCACGGGTTGCATTGCCACGAGTATGCCGATGACACCGAGATATGTGTACCCTTCTCAGGTGACCCAGATGCAGCTCTCGCCTGCTTAACACTCTCTGCCAGAGGTATCTGCATTGATGCAGCAGATCCGGCTCAGGTTGAATCCTGACAAGACGGAGCTGATGATTTTTTTTCGTGTCAGAGAATCAGCTGAGAATGGGCACAGGGGAATCTTGAACCTCCATCAATTAATGGAGTACACCATCTCCCTGTAACAGTGGTGCACAACCTAGGTGTAGTGTTCGATTGTAGCTCGCACTCTCAGGTTGCAGCTGTGGCCAGAGAGGTGGTTTCACCTAAAAATGCTCCGTGGGCTGCGCCCACTGTTATCTACTAGTGATCTCGAAACACTGGTTCACGCCTTTGTGTCAACGTGTCTGGATTACGGAAATGCTTTGTATGCTGAGCTGCCTCCTGGACTGGTTCGGAAACTGCAGCTGGTGCAGAATGTGGCTGCCCACATGTGTCGACGTGTTAGCCATTTCGAGCCAATAAAACCCATCCTCCGTGATCTGCACTGGCTGCCAGTCAGCTATTGCATGCAATTAAACTTAGCTGTAATGATTTACAAAGCTCAAAATGGCGTTGGTCTTCCGTACCTGCAGTCCCGTCTGTCCCCCTAGACATCTGCGCTCCTCAGGCCAGACCCTCCTAGCTCGAACTAGAATTTTTCATTCTACGCTGGGCGGTAGGGTCTTCTCCTATGTGGGGCCTAATATCTGGAACTCTCTTCCGTGGGGCCAAAGGTTGGATCTGAGCACCAAACAGTTCAGGATACTCTGCAAGACGCATTTTCTTCCTTTTGGCTTTTCCTTGAGTATGTCTTCTCATTTAGCTTTTTTTATATGTGTCTTGATTTTATATGTAGAACTACCTTCGTTAAATTTATACTGTAAAGTATTGCGATACCTTCTTTAGCGGGGGCGAGTTCTTACTCAAAATGTAAACAATGCATGCATTTGCAAATTGTGAAAACTATTTAAAGGGTGCTGACCCAAATCTTCAAAAAAATCCAATGGAAGCCATTTTTAACTACTCGGCCCCCACGGCGATTTGTAACGTGGCCATCAGGAAGAAGACTCACGAGTGGTGGGTATTATAGGGGTGGGCTCAGGATAGGGCAACGCCGGGCAGGCCCCAGGCTCCAGCGAGATGTCGTCCAGTGCTATCTCGCTGCTGCCCGCCCTTCGCCGGGCCTCAAACACCACCTGCAACAGAGGGGAAGCCGGTAAGCAATGACTGTTTACGGAAAATATTGCGAACTGTAACTGAAAATTGAAGATGAATATGATTGTTTTCGACAAAAACCGTGATTAGATTTTTCATCACTGGAGCAAGTCCATACTGGAACAGGGGGCATTCGTCCTAACCCCACACAGAGAGGCACGCAAGGCTGGACTCAAACCTAGGCCATTTTTGCCATGAGGGCCACAACAGTCACCACTGTCGTCCAAAAAAACAACGTTTTGGTGAAGAAACGCCTGGAGGCACCAGGGGGGCCTTGATCCAGTAGTGGATCGAGAGGAGGCTTCACGAATATTTCGGCATATTACCAATGGGTCTGCAAACCGCACCTCTGTGACATTCAGACCACGATCTAAACCTAAAAAAAACCTCTTATGGCTGATATTGATCACAAAAGCCTATGTGTTAAACAGACCATGGCCAATTGGGCTGATGAGGGTGGCAAACGCCATGCACCGACCTGGAAGTTCTGTGGTTGGCTGAAGGAGAGCTGCCCATAGTGCCACTGGTTGCCGTAGTTCCCCTCCTTGACCCACAGGGGAACGTCAGCCACTCCCTCGGTTCGCAAGGACAGGGAGAGGCGATAGACGTCCACCCCATACATGTGATACCTGCACATAGGGACACACAGACGGGCAGAGTCAGACACAGAGATGGACACAGGGACACAGAGATATACAGGGACAGGCATACATACACATGAACACACACAAACAGACCAGGACACTCAGCAACACACACATGGAAACACACAGCGTTTGCAAGTACCCTGTCATACAACCGGGTGGTGGTGGTGGCTATGCTGCACGTTGCTATCTGTTACCAAGCACTGTGTGGAGGCAACAGCAGCGAGGTTGTTGGATCTTACACAATTTCAGCAGCGTTGATTCAACACAAGCGAAACTCTGGACTGGGATTCGACGCACGGTGACACACTGGTAGAGGTAGACTTTGCCGGTGAACTGACAGGATGTCCATAGGTGTAAGGGTGTTATAAGCACCCTTAGCAAAATAGCATTATATAGCAGAGCTGTCACATCTATGGCCAGAGCCTTGGAACATGTCAGAGGGAGGAGAGGAGGCAAGGAGGGATTAGTTGAGAGGAAGGGCCAGGGAAGGTTGCAGGAGGGGCAGGGGGAGAGAACGGTGGGGGAGAGGGGGGGGGAGAGAGGAGGAGAAAGAGTAGAAGATGGCGGCAGAGACCGGGAGCTCCACGTGTGAATAAAGAGAGCCCTTCCCCGTATGTTGAGCCTCTGTGTTCCTTCTTACACAGGCAAGGGCCCAAACCATTTACATTCTGGGCCCGTGTGATTTCAAATTATTCCCACACCACTGTGGAGCTGCTCGTGAAGGGTGACGTGTGGTCGCATTCACCAGAACTTGAGGCACGTGGGGTTCGGTTCGGGGTCCAAGGTAAATGTGCGGATGCTCGCGGCGACGCCGCTCTTTTGGTTCCGGATGTAGAACCCTGCGGGAGAAACCAGGAAGATTAATCATGCAACGCAAGGATTCCATAACGGTTTCCAACATGCGTTTGTCCTTTTAGCACTGGCTTTTATTTACGTCCTAAGTGCATACCTGACGAGTTCCCAAAAGTGTGGTCCACATCTGGACCGGTGTTAGCTGGAGAAGTGGGCCCACTCAGCCGCTCCCAGTTGGCGCTGTCGTAAGGGTCCTGGTCCCAGTAGCACCAGCCCGACTCGAAGGAGCAGTCCACCAGATCCTTGTCTGTACACAGACAAAGAGTGGGTGAGTGAGCGGGTGGGCAGATGAGTGGGCCACGCGGCTCTCCCTGGCCATGCTTGTAAGTCCAGAGAAGCCAAATACGGTAAAGGGAGTGAGAGAGTGAGTGGGTGAGTTAGCAGGTGTGTGGGTGAGTAAGCCAGCAGGTGACTGGGTGGGCCGGGATGTTCTCGCTGGCCTTACTTGTGAGAGCAGAGAAGTCGAATGTGCTGAAGGAGGCGCTGAAGCCACTTTTGACTGCACTGCTATCGGAGGTGAACTCCACGGTGAGCTCGTGAGCGAAGACCCGGACGTCACCGGGGTTGCTAGTTCCCGTCAATGAAGCTGCATCATGGAGAGAGACACACACAGAGGGAGATTCTTAGAGATAGAGAGGGACAAAAAGAGAAAAAATAGTGGTTGAGGGTAGTGAAACGATAACTGGTAACTGTCGCCAGCGGAGTTTGAGTAAGCAACGCGCCATTTGGCACGTGCGCGTGCAGAAGTACAAACCGCACGGTGGCAGGCCTAAGTCACTACGTGGTTACGTTTGGACTCGTTTCTCAGGTACAAACGTGAAGTCATCTCGCGCAGCACAGGTGCAGCTGCCACTGGAGGGAGGGAGTTGCCTTCAATCGTTGATGTAAGGCACTTTAAGTTGCTCATTCATTTCAGCCAATCTTAGAGATAAAGGAGCCGTCTTGATGTGATGCGGGGGTCCGAGTTCGAAGCGAAGGCTGAGCCAGCCAACACTTAGCATCGATAGTCTGGGCAATACCCGCAAACCACAACACTTCCAGACTGTCCTTGGTGCAAAACTCCCCAAAGAATATCCTGACGATATCGGAACACACCGGAGCATGCTCACGTTCACCATCCTCAACACCTGCAAGAATACCAGTGGCTATACGATCAAAAAGTCGTTTGAAGAGAACGACACTGACATTGACACAAATACGAAGAGCACAAAGACGAAGAACCTTTTGCGCCTACCAAAACGACACAAACCGCAAGGCCAAAAGAGAGGCAAAGGTGGAAGTCCAACGCTGGGTGAGAGAATTAAAATACAAATTGTGGACAGGGAAAGCACTGGAAATCCAGCAGCTGGTAGACTGCAGCCACACTGCAGGCTTCTTCAATGTCACTGAGGCAGTATACGGATCCAGTTGCCGTGGCCTATACCCCCTTCGCTCAAAAGTTTGATGAATCAATCCAATACCGGTGGAGAGAACACTCTGAAGAACCCCTCAACCGAAGTACAACCGTTGAGATGGAGGTCATCGACCATATCCCATAGCGACCCATAAAGGCGGACATGGACAAACCGCCCAGCATGCAGGAGGTACAAGATGCCATCAGGAAGATGAGAAATATCAAGGCTGCTGGTCCTGATGGGATTTCAGCATTAATCTTAAAGGAAATCAGATCAGATCCCTTACACCACCCACGTACATGCCCTGCTCTTGAAGATCTGGCAAATGAGGAAATCCCCACATAACTCGGGGATGCCCTGATTGTTACCATCTTTTAAAATGGGGGGGACAAGACAGATTGCTGCTATCCTCCACCTCAGTGGACAAAATCTGCCTCAAGGAGTCTAAATCCTCTACAAAACAGATGCCGAAATCTCCGACCTCAAAATATTCAAGGCAAAGAGCAAAGTCTACACCACTTCCATCGTTGAGCCTTCACAAAGGCATACAAGCTCTTGGGACTGGCCCTAAACCTGAAAAGACGCAGATCCTCCACCAACCATCACCTGACAAGAAAACACCGGCCCTGCTATACATGCTGACAATACCACCCTCGAAATTGTGGATCACTTTCCCAATCTTGGCAGACTATTCTCCTCCAAAGCCGACATCGACGCGAAAATACACCACCGACCGACCTAGCTGTGCCAGTGCAGACATTGCCAAAATGATGCAAAGAGTCTTTGAAGATCTCGATATCCGGGACAAAATTAAACACCTCGTCTATAAAGCCGTAGTTTTTCCCACCCTACTGTATGGGATCAAAACCTGGACGATGTACAGTAGGCACGTTAGAGCCCTGGAGTCGCACAAACAAAGATGCCTCCACAAAATCACGAGCATCAGTTGGGAAGATAGGCACAGCAACATCAGTCCCCTGGAGGAGGCAAACTTGAACATCATCACCACTACCATCACCCAACACCAGCTCAGGTGGACTGGCCACGTTGTTAGGATGCCCAACTCCCGCCCTCCTTAAATAGGTCCTGTACCCCAAACTAAACGCAGGACCAGTGTGCCCCTGGAGGACAGAAGGAGCGCTACAAGGACAACGACTTCAAGAAGTGGCCACATCAACACCACCAACTGGGACGACATTGCATAGGACATAACCACATGGAGGAAGATTATCCATGATGGGGTCACACTCTACGCAAAAAGATCCTCACCGTGCCGCAGAGGACAAGTGGCAACAACGTAAGAGAGAGGTTTACCACCAAGAATGCCCAACCCATCATCCACCACCATCACATTCCCTTGCCCACACTGCAGCAGAATCTGCGGATCTCTGATCGGCCTCTACAGCCATCTGAAGAGCCACAAAAATAACCCACCAGGAGGAGAATCATACTCGACCCCGAGTGATCGATGATGATGATGATGACCGGTCTACCAATCCCTCGGTCTGCTCACCTTGGAGCTCCTTGTCAGCACCCAGTCCCTTGAAGATCTTGAGGAAGTCGTAATTGTTTTCAAGATCAAAGGCCGAGAATGAGATTTGGACTGCGTAGCCATCTGGGGCCCTGTGGGGAAAAGAGCAGGCGCGTGGTGAGGATGTCTGCACGGACCGGCCGGGTATATTGGCCGAGCCGTGGCGCATTCGGCACTCTGGTGCAGAGGTTCACGGTTGCAATACTGGCCGGGTCGGTCACCCTCGCTCGCTATCTCACTCACACACACACACACCCACTCAATCAATTAAGCTCACCCACCCACTCACCCACTCACCCACCCTCCCACCCACCGGATGATCCAGCGGCAGTTGGCGTTGTTTTCGTAGTTCTCAGGGAAGTTCATGGAGTTGAAGCTCCCGGATGTCCCCGTAAGCAGGAAGTTGTCGTCACAGCCGGAATCTGCAGAGCGATAATGCAGGTTGGTTATTTGATGAACCCGCTCACTCACTCACTCGCTCACACTCATTTACCCCCCTGCTTATTCAATCACCCACCCGCTCACTGACTCATGTCTTGTCGTTTGAGGCTTTCGATGGAGAGCTCAATAAGCCAGTCAATTTATCCTGACCCCTCACTCTGATTCGGCCCCCGTACCAAAGTCAAATATCTCTGTGAATTGATTCCACTCAGAGGACCTAGACTTTGACTCCATTTGTTCACTAGCAAGTATCCAAGCCAAGACAGGGCATCGACACCACTTAAGAGGACCCAAGATTTTCCTTGGGGAGGGCATCGAGGAGGAGAAATACGCTGGTTTGTCAGGAGAAGGCTGGCACAGCAGAGTGTGGACTCATCTTCGTTTCCCTCCCACATTAATTCGGAGTTTGCCAACCCTCCCTATATAAGACCACAGGGCTCGGCCGATCGTTAGTAGCGCTGCTGCCTTGCCCACTTTCGTCCGTGACTTTGCGCGCCTCTAAAATTATGGAAAACATTGACGTTCGCGCTTTAACCCGGCGGCATTGGGGTAAACATTGGGGATGACGTGGAGAGAAATGGGAGTGAGAGAAGAGGGCATGGCGGGAGGGGGACCTTTCCCTCCCCCTGCCGCTCAACGTACTGCAGGCAACTTCGTCCGAGGAGTCGTTGCAGTCGGTGACGCCATCGCAGAACGCAGACAGAGGGATGCAGGAGATGTCCCCGCACACGAACTGACCCGGAGAACACGGGGCTGCGCGCACACAAAGATCCCCCGTGTAGCCTTTAATGCACTGTTGGGGCAAGTGCTGTTCCCGAGCACCTATGAAACCCGGCAGGGTGCATGAGGAGGTGGGTGACTAGCACCATGCCTGGCTGCCTTTGTCTCCCTAGTGGCGATGTTTAAACACTGCACCAGGTACTCGTTTGAGGCTCGCTCGACATAGGGGAAGCTCAAAACTTGTCATAAAATCGTCACTCGTGTTGGCCGTGAGCGGGAATCGGGCTCGGGTCACCGGCCTGATAGAATGGATAAGGAGGAGACACAATGGAGCGGATTGGGAGGAGAAGAAGGCACGAGAGTGGAGATGATGATGATCGCAAGAGCGGAGAATGTGTGCTGCTGCTGCAGCTGCTGGCGTACAATGTTTGTGGACACCGTGGCGTCTGTAAGAGCAGCTCAGGATAATGCCCTCGTTTTCTTAGTCATGGATCGGCTCAGGCTAGGCTCTGGCTCCGGTGAGCCTAGATCCAGCGAGCCATACATAAGCCAGCCATGGATCTGTCTCTCTCTGCGAGTCGTTAGGTCTCTGTGCGAGTCTGTGGGTGTCTGTTGCAGTCTAGGGCTCGCAGTGCCAGTCTATGTCAAATCGTCTACATATCTGACAAGCCATTTCCGGGCCCAACTCATCCCAGCTCAGCCTGCATGTTGATTCGTAACGCGGCCATCAGGACCACGAGGCTCGGCGGAAGACTCACGGGTGGTAGGGATTATAGGGGTGGGCCCGGGATAGGGCAACTCCGGGCAGTCCCCAGGCTCCAGCGAGATGTCGTCCAGCGCTATCTCACTGCTACCGGACCTCCGCCGGGCCTCAAACACCACCTGCAACAGAAGGCAAACCGGTAACCAATAACCATTAACCGGAAATAACATTTGCGAACCGTAACTGAAAATCTAAGACGAAGATGTTTCGATTTAAAGCTTTCGTGACTGCAAGGATTCATCTTCTTTGGTTCTTTCGGTAAAGTCACGTAGAATGAGAATAAAATAATAAATTGATAAAATAAAATAACACAATAAAATTCTCACGACGTTTCGGCCACAACACAAGTGGCCTTCATCAGGTGAATTTAGCTATGCTAATTCCTTTGTCAAGGCGCTCTGTTTCTTCTCACACAGCTTAAAGGTCGCGGTTTGAGCTTGGCTTTGTTCGCTCCAGCGCTGTCCTCCAGACAGTCTCGTCCCTTCACCTGATGAAGGCCGCTTGTGTTGTGGCCGAAACGTCGTGATAATTTTATTGTGTTATTTTATTTTATCAATTTATTATTTTATTCTCATTCTACGTGACTTTACCGAAAGAACCAAAGAAGACGAAGATGTTTGTTTTGACAAAACTGTACAACGAGGTTTGGATCACCGGTATGCATGATATGTTTTTTTAATTACTGAGTATTTTGATTTTCAGCACCGGAGCAAACCCAAAGCAGAACAGGGTGCATTTCGTACAATCCCCACACAGAGAGGAGTCCGAGTTGGGACTCGAGCCTAGGCCTATTCTTGTAATGAGGACACAACTGTTGCCACCACCGTTCCCTTCAGTTAAATAACACACGGGGTGTCTGTGTGTGGTGGCGTGGGGTGGCTCATCCAGTAGCAGATCAACAGGAGGGCCCATGGCAAGTACAGCATATTGCCAATGGGCCCGCAAACTGCATCCGCGAATTTCCGACCATGCCCCATGGGACTTGCCTTAGCTGCTGAGGGTGACAAAGCGGCGTGCACTGACCTGGAAGGAATTCGCTTCTACGAAAGAGAGCTGCCCGTAGTGCCAAAAGTTGCCGTAGTTCCCCTCTTTGAGCCACGCGGGAACATCGGGCACTCCCTCCCTCCGCAAGGACAGGGAGAGGCGATAGACGTCCACCCCGTGCATGTTGAACCTGCGCAAAGGGACGCACAGAGACGGGCATACAAATACACACACACCAACACATGTGGACACACAACACAACGACATGCACAGGGACACACGTGGCATTTGCAAGTCTCCCGTCACACAGCCGGCCGGTGGTGGTGGCTACGCTGCACATGGCTGCCTGTTTGTCAGCACTCTGGAGGCAGAAGCAGTGAGGTTTGTGGATCACACACAATTTCAGCAGCGTTGAGTCGAGACGAGCAAAACTCTGGACCGGGTTTGGATGCACGGTGACTCATCGTCAGAGGCAGACTTTGCCGATGAACTGACAGGATGTCTACAGGTAAGGGCCCATTGTTTGCATTCTGGGCCCGTGTGATTTCAAACTATTCCCACACCACCGTGGAGCTTCTAGTGAAGGGTAACGTGTCATCGTATTCACCAGAACTTGAGGCACGTGGGGTTGGGTTCAGGGTCCAAGATAAATGTGCGGATGCTCGTGGCGACGCCGCTGTTTTGATTCCGGATGTAGAACCCTGTAGGAGATACCAGGGAGAACAATCATGCAAACGAACGGGTTCCTTAATGCTGCCCAACATGCATTTGTCCTGTTAGCACTGTTTTTTTTTTCTCTCCCAATTTTTGGTTTTCTACCATGGCGAGTCCCTTGCCGCGACAGAGCATTCTACGAATGTTTCGTTCACATTGGATCATCTTTACGAGAGTTACCGTGACCCAACTTTGCACACAGACCTACAGGCAGGCTCAATGACAGCATTCTCAAGGACGAACGGATGGAGAGATGGACATACAGACAGATGGACAAGTAGATGGGTGGATGGGCAGACACAGAGAAGGATGGATGTCCACTCCTCGGCCACTCGTAGGGCACGGCATCCATTGCGGGAAAACACAAGCCTCTGTGTTCGTGCGCACCTGACGAATTTCCAAAAGTGTGGTCCACGTCCGGGCCAGTGGTGTCTGGAGAAGTGGGCCCACTCAGCCGCTCCCAGTTGGCGCTGTCGTAGGGGTCCTGGTCCCAGTAGCACCAGCCCGACTCGAAGTTGCAGTCCACCAGATCCTTGTCTACACAAAGACAAAGAGTGGGTGACTGAGCGGGTGAGCAAGTGAGCGGCTGAGTGAGTGAGTGGGTGGGTGAGAGGGCCAGGCCGCTCTCGCTGGCCATACTTGTGAGTCCGGAGAAGCGGAACGTGGTGAAGGGAGTGGGTGGGTGGGTGAGTGAACGGGTGAGTGAGTGAGCGGGTAAGTGAGTGGATTGGGGGGGTGATGTACTCGTGAGTCCGGAGAAGTCAAACGCTGTGAAGGAGGCACTGAAGCCGCTGTCTGTTTGACTCATGTCGGAGGTGAACTCCACGGTGAGCTCGTGGCTGAAGACCCGCACGTCGTCGGGGATGCTCGTTCCCGTCAATGAAGCTGCGATGCAGAGAGACGCACATGCACAGAGAGAGGGGGACAAAACGAGAGAAAATGGTAGAGGGTTATTAAACAATAACCGCTGTAACTGTTGCCCATGGAATTTGAGTAACCAACTCGCCAATCGGCACGTGCGCGTACAAACAGTACAAGCCGCACGGCGGCAGGCCTCAGTCACCGTGTGGTTACGTTTGCCCTCATTGGTCAATTACAATGGTAAAGTTGCCTTGTGGTGCACAGGGGCAAGTGTCCCTGGGACGGTCCCCTGTACATTAAGCAGCCCCCCTCCTTAACTCCCTTCTGTTCCTCCCTTGAAGCCTCTAGTACCCATAGACTCAACACCACCCAAAGACTCAACACCGCACACAGACTCAACACTGCCCATAGACTCAACACTGCCCATAGACTCAACACTGCCCATAGACTCAACACTGCCCATAGACTCAACACTGCCCATAGACTCAACACCGCCCACAGACTCAACACTCCACCATAGACTCAACACTGCCCATAGACTCAACACTGCCCATAGACTCAACACTGCACCATAGACTCAACACTGCCCACAGACTCAACCCTGCACCATAGACTCAACACCGCACACAGACTCAACACTGCCCATAGACTCAACACTGCCCATAGACTCAACACCGCCCACAGACTCAACACTGCCCATAGACTCAACACTCCACCATAGACTCAACACTCCACCATAGACTCAACACTCCACCATAGACTCAACACCGCCCACAGACTCAACACTCCACCATAGACTCAACACTCCACCATAGACTCAACACTCCACCATAGACTCAACACCGCCCACATACTCAACACTCCACCATAGACTCAACACTCCACCATAGACTCAACACTCCACCATAGACTCAACACCGCCCACAGACTCAACACTCCACCATAGACTCAACACTCCACCATAGACTCAACACTCCACCATAGACTCAACACTGCCCATAGACTCAACACTCCACCATAGACTCAACACTGCCTATAGACTCAACACTCCACCATAGACTCAACACTGCCTATAGACTCAACACTCCATCATAGACTCAACACTGCCCATAGACTCAACACTCCACCATAGACTCAACACCGCCCCCGTACATTAAGCAGTCGCCCTCCTTAACGTCCTTTCCTTCCTCTCTTGAGGCCTCACCTCTTCTCTATTGCCCATTGTCTCCCACTCCCCCCTCTACCCCTTCCCGTCCCTTCACTATAGCCCTTTGGTGATCCCTATGAGTCTTCTGTAATGGTCACTAAATTCCTCCTTCTTTTGCACTACCAACAAAATCGCTATCGTTTTAACTGCTTTTAAACTTTGGAAAAGCACCTTGAGCCGAGGCGCTCTATGAAGATAAAACAAGATCTTGAATATTCTTAGTTTTTTCGGTAAAGTCACGTTGAAGAGAAACAACAAGAAACAACGTCGTGAGAATTTTTTATTGTTTTATATATATTTGTTATTTTGTTGTTTCTCTTCAACGTGACTTTACCGAAAAAACTAAGAATATGAATTACTGCAGTCACGAAAGCTTTAAATCAAAAGATCTTGAATGTTTAAGGCACGTTGGGTTGCCGAGTCGTTCCGGCAAGAGCCATGTCCATGCAAGCATCGTGTGCACTATTAAGGGTAATAACAAATCCAAAATAATTACCGGGCGACGTACGTTCGGCACGTGCGCGTTCCGGATTCGATGAACGACGGCGGCAAACTCATGCGTGGGGTCAGCAGCCACGTTCAACGAGCAACATCCCAAAAAAGCAACAACGCAATGCCCACAACCACGTGACTCCCCCAAACAGCATCCGCTCCACGTAAAGCGATAAAGCACGACCTTCCGAGCGTGCACTGTTTCAGCAGCATGGATTCAGGCCAAAGCAAAAAAAAAAGAAACTCCCGACTAATTTCGACACGCGACGTCCCATCGGAAAACAGAGTCGGCCTCGGCTCGAACCAATGCTGCCGATCCTGGAGATCTCCTACAGGCAGGGGAGCCCGGCCCCTTTGCTGCGATGCGGTGCGGGGTCCGAGTTCGACGCACGAGCTACCGGTCCACCGATCCCTCAGTCTGCTCACCTTGGAGCTCCTTGTCGGGCCCCAGTCCCTTGTAGATCTTGACGAAGTCGTATCTGTTTTCAAGCGCAAAGGCTGAGAAGGAGATTTGGACGGCGTAGCCGTCCGGGGCCCTGTGAGGAGGAGAACGGGCGCGCGGTCAGGACTTCGGTCACGCGGCGGTGCCGGGGGACATGGGCAGAGGCTCACGGTTGGAATACTGGCCGGGTCACACTCGCTCGCTCACTCGCTCGCTCGAGCTCACCCACCCACCGAATGATCCAGCGGCAGTTGGTTGAGTCGTTGTAGTTCCCGGGGAAGTTCAAGGAGTTGAAGCTCCCGGACGTCCCCGTGAACAGGAAGTTGTCATCACAGCCGGAAACTGCAGAGGGATCACGCATATTGATTTTTTTTGTTATTGTTCACACGCTCACGCGCCCGCTCGCCAGCCCGCCCGCCCGCCCAATCGCCCGCCTGCTCAACCACCCGCTTGCCTGCTCGCCCGCCCGCTCGCTCACATCTCGTTGATTGCGGTGTTTGACGGATGGCCTGATGAGCCAGTCACTTTATGCCGACCCCTCTGTGAATTGATCCAACTGAGAGGACCCTAAGACTGACTCATTTTTCCACTGGCTCGTAGCCGAGCCGAGCCGGCGCAATGACCCCACTTAACCCGTTCGCATTCCGATAATGTTTGCGTACTAAGCTGAGCTGTTTAAAACTATTTTATCATTGTTACCGGGTAAGGCCCACTGAGCTATGTAGCTCTTTTTTCAGAAGCGACCAGGCCACAAATGATAGCTCAACGAAGTGGCTTATTGAGTGGCAATGTATAGCAGCCAAATACTCTAAACGTGTGTTGTTTCTCAATGTTGGGGTGGAAAGCTGAGGGATGCGGAGAAGAATCCACACGATCACGGGCATTAGGGTCGTGATTGAACCCACGACCTCCTGTGTGCCAGGCGAGGAAGTTAACATCTCCTAGCCACCGCGGCGCCCTCTATGTACGTCGTCGGAACAGAGACGGAAGAAAAACTAAAGTGTAAAGTAACTTTGTTGGTAGCGAGGCTCCCACAAGGCCACGTGGGAGGGCGCGTGGCACAGCTTGGCGCCGGCTACTGTAGCGTGGCGGTCGTGTCGCTACAGTTCTGTGCGGTGAGTACAATGTCTTTAGAAACCACGGCGCCACGCCTCTCGGAATAAAATGAACACTCATGCGAGCGTGGGACTCAGCCGAGTCATAAGCTCCAAGGGAACGGAGAAGGAATTTGAAGCCAGATGGTCTCCGTCCCCTCCTTGTTGCAGAGCCTGAAGTGAGCGAGCCGGATGAGGGTCCTACGCAACTTGTCACAATAAACATTTATAAGCAAACAACAAAAGTTAATGTCGGAACCGCTCGCGCATCTCCGACATTCGACAGGCGAACGGGAGCCCCCACGCAGCAAACCTGCAGACGTCTCGGAACGGGGATGGGTTAAGGTAACCTCAGACTTCCCGTGGGTGGGCGTCGAGTATGAGCCACGTGCCCTGGCTAGCCAGGAGAAGGCTTGCAGAGCCGACTGTGCACTCACACCTCCCGTTCCCTCCCACATTAATGGGAGTTCACAAAACCTCCCTACAAGGGGCCACGGAGCTCGTCAGTAGCGCCGCCCTAACCCGGGTGAAAACCTTGGGAGGGGGGTGTAATGAGAGTGGTGGGAGGAGGGCGAGACTGGAGGGGGTTACTCTTCCCACCTCCGCCCCACCGCCCCACCGCCCCCCACCCCCCGCCCGGACCCGCTCCCTCATCGACGTACTGCAGGAGGCTTCGTCGGAGGCGTCGTTGCAGTCGTTGACGCCGTCGCAGAGGGCGGACAGGGGGATGCACGAGATGTCCCCGCACACGAACTGACCCGGAGGACACGGGGCTGCACGCGAGCACGGGCAGAACGGGCGCAACGCGCACGCAAATCAGGAGTTTCTTCCCGACCTTCCAGAAGCGCCGACGGGTGCAGCTCAACCGCTTCCTGCGTGACCGGGGAAGTGTGTTGCTGCGTCCGAGCCTCGATGGGTGGGACATCGTGATACCACGTGACAGCCCACCGCTGTGTGAATGCCGGGGGAGCCAGGATGAGACCCGTGACGTGAACATTGGCTGGGAAGTTGCGTCAGCGCGTCCCGGGCGGACTGGTTGTTGCCCTGAACGTGCTGGATGGAGGAGGAGGCTGCAGAGTGGCTCTGTGGCTATGTGTGTGTGGGGGGGGGGGGGGGCTGACGTAGACTCAAAGAAAATATATCTTTTAGTTTGTAAATGTATCTGGTGTTTTGACTGTGGGTAGTCGCGCGGAATAGCATTCGCTAACAAATAAATGAATAAAATCGCCAGCACCACCATCCTCTTTGGTTCTTTCGGTAAAGTCACGTAGGTATAAAATAAAATGAATTTGATCACGACGTTTCAGGCGCAAAACAAGCGCCCGTCATCGGATTAAAAACAACCACAGCAAGAAACAATTGCTGAAGTGGGCAAAAGGGGAGAGGGTAGGAGTGTGGGGTAGGGGGAGTGGAGAAGTGCTAGCTCCAACTCGACTACGACAAAATGCCGGGGCCGGGGGGTAGGAGGCTGAAGAAACTGGAGATGCGGATATGAAGGCCATCTTGTGGATACAAATTGAGCAATCATTGGAAGGATGTTATTAACCAGGTAAAACCTTAACTGCTTTATAGTTTGCCTTCAGTTATGGCTGAGCGGACCTAAGAAAGATGTCCACGACCGGTTCTGGTGTTCGGGCACTGGTGTTGGCCATGAGTGCTAAGCGCTGCGCCACCACTCCCCGCTTGCACAGGCGCGTCACCGCAACACCGCTGATTCGAGTGGAGGGTGCTGCACTAATGCTGAGACAGGGCACCGCACCAACGCTGAGGAGGGCACCGCACTAACGCCGGGAGAAGCCACCGCACTTACGCCGGGAGAGACCACCGCACTAACACTGGGAGAGACCACCACACTAACACCGGGAGAGACCACCACACTAACACCGGGAGAGGCCACCACACTAACACCGGGAGAGACCACCACACTAACACTGGGAGAGACCACCACACTAACAGTGGGAGAGACCACCACACTAACACTGGGAGAGACCACCGCACTAACACCGGGAGAGACCACCACACTAACACTGGCAGAGACCACCACACTAACACTGGCAGAGCCACCGCACTAACACTGGGAGAGACCACCGCACTAACACTGGGAGAGACCACCACACTAACACTGGGAGAGACCACCACACTAACACTGGGAGAGACCACCACACTAACACTGGGAGAGACCACCACACTAACAGTGGGAGAGACCACCACACTAACATTGGGAGAGACCACCGCACTAACACCGGGAGAGACCACCACACTAACACTGGCAGAGACCACCACACTAACACTGGCAGAGCCACCGCACTAACACTGGGAGAGACCACCGCACTAACACTGGGAGAGACCACCACACTAACACTGGGAGAGACCACCACACTAACACTGGGAGAGACCACCACACTAACACTGGGAGAGACCACCACACTAACACTGGGAGAGACCACCACACTAACACTGGGAGAGACCACCACACTAACACTGGGAGAGACCACCACACTAACACTGGGAGACCACCACACTAACACTGGGAGAGACCACCACACTAACACTGGGAGAGACCACCACACTAACACTGGGAGAGACCACCACACTAACACCGGGAGAGACCACCACACTAACACTGGGAGAGGCCACCGCACTAACACTGGGAGAGACCACCACACTAACACCGGGAGAGACCACCACACTAACACTGGGAGAGACCACCACACTAACACTGGGAGAGACCACCACACTAACACCGGGAGAGACCACCACACTAACACTGGGAGAGACCACCGCACTAACACCGGGAGAGACCACCACACTAACACTGGGAGAGACCACCGCACTAACACCGGGAGAGACCACCGCACTAACGCCGGAGGGGGGTGTGGGGGAGTGTGGAGGGGGTCACTCACGGGCGGGCGTGGTGGTGGGGATGATGGGCGTGGGCTCGGGGAGCGGGGAGGGGCAGACCCCGGGGACGAGTGCCACGTCGTCCAGCGCGATCTCGCTGAACAGCTGGTGCAGCCTGCGGCGCGCCTCCACCACCACCTGCGGGGGCGTCACCACCTCGTCATGCCACGTGGTACGGCGACGATGGCTGCGACGGTGGCGACGATGACGACGGTGGCCATGGTGAGGACTGTGACGACGACGGTGACGTGACGGTGACAGTGGTGACCAAGGGGATGGCGATGATGGTGACGACGGCGATGATGGTGACGACGGCGATGATGGTGTCCGTGACCACGGTGACGACGGTGAGGACTGTGACGACACCGATGACGTGACGGTGACACTGGTGACAAAGGGGACGGTGATGATGGTGACGACGGTGATGATGGTGACGACGGCGATGATGGTGACCGTGACCACGGTGACGACGGTGAGGACTGTGACGACACCGATGACGTGACGGTGACACTGGTGATCATAGTGACGGCGACGGCGATGGCGATGGTGACGATGGTGGCAATGGCGATGATGACGATGGTGACGGTGACCACGGCGACGATGGTGACGGCACCGAGGACTGTGACGACGATGATCGCGTGACGGTGACCCTGGTGACCATGGCGACGACGACAATGGTGGCGATGGTGATGACGGCAACGACGTTGATGACGACGGCGACGAGGGTCGAAGCCAGGGCCGGCAACGTCCTCCCACGAGCAACTCAAATCAACCGAAGACCAACGGGAGCATTTCGAATCGACGCAGCGGGCTGGACTGACGAGGCACTACAGCAGCTCCTGACTAGCTGGGGAAACCTGGAATGGTATACAGGGTGGGGGTGGGGGGACACACTCCCACCCCCCCTCCCCGATATACGTCGCCCCGATATGCGCCTTTTCGCACTCACGTCGCTGACTTTTTTTAGGGGAACACGGCGTAGAGTTCGAAAAATCAGAGTGGGCGCTGTAACCTTTCTGGCTACATAAAACACGAGTTGTGTTGAGATGTTCAAACACCAAGTAGGTGGTTTATAACACGACGAAAGGCTTTCGCCACCAACAGCATCCATAATATCGGCTTCTCTTGTAGATACCTTTCGCGAGGAATCAAGTCTGCGTTAACCACACGTGATTGTGGTGAACATGCAAAACAAACACGGTGTGATAATACAAGCATTGCCTTTGAAACTGCGTAGGCCATTCAGGCTTGAACCCTTGCAAAAGGTGACGATTTGGTGTCCGAACATCATAACGCCTCCTGTTTCACCCCAAGGAAAATCTTGGCAGCAAGGCTCAAATCTATTCAGATTTATCATACTTTTATAACACTGGCGACGTTCAATTTCCCAGCGCGCTCGTTGCTGTGATGCCGAGCGGAAAGCAAAATGCTAGCGCTACGAGCCCGGCGACCCGACTTCGATCCCCGCTCACGGCCATCACCGGTGACAATCGTGGTTTTCGGTTACCATTTGTGACTCGGCTCGGCCGAACTCGGCTCTGAGGGGGGGGGGGGGGGGGGTATAGAGGTACTGTACAACTCTCGCGCATGCGCCGCCGCCATCTTCTCGGTCCCGTCGCGCCCCCTCGCGCGTGGGCGCGGCCACGGTCGCCCGTTGGGACCGGCGCGGACTTCAAATCGCAAAACGTTGACGCAACCCCCTTCGACGCGGCCTTCATCCGACCGCGGCCCGCGACAAGGGGCTTGACGAGTGTGGTGGAGCGCCGGCGACCTTGAAGCTCTGCGGCTGGCTGATGGCGATCTGCCCGTAGTGCCACTGGTTGCCGTAGTTCCCCTCCTTCTGCCACAGGAAGGCGTCGGCCGTTCCCTCCCTCCGCAGGTACACGGTGAGGCGGTAGACTTCCACCCCGTACATGTGGTACCTGCGCACGGGGGACACGCAGAGGGCCGTGCAGAGACACGCGCAGAGACACGCGCAGGGAGAGAGTCACACACGAAAACAGACACAAGGACATAGACTTGGACGTGGACAATTGCCGGTATCCCCTGTATAGCTTTAACACAACGAGCACCTTACACACACACACAGGGACGGACACACACACACACACGTAAAATATAAAGATCCCCCGTATAACCTTAACAAAACTATCGGGGCAAGTGCTGTTAGCGAGCACCTATGGGTGGCCAGCATCACACCGGGCCACCTTTGTCTCCCAAGCGGCGACGTTTACACACCGCACCAGGTACCCATTTGACGCTGAGTCAACCTAGAAGAGGCCCAGAACCGGTTCGGATAATTGTCACCGCCGTTGGCCGTGAGCGGGAAATCGAATCCGGGCCACCGGGTTCGTAGCGGCAGCGTAGCGCTACCGCTCCCCATAACACAGAGGGACACACACAGCAACACACAGCAACGCACAGGGATACAGCGACTCACAGAGGGTTGGACACACACGCAGATATATCCTCGGACAGCCTACACAGGCAGTCGTGCCTCAACAGATTTGACACAAGACCGCGGAAGCAAAGGGTTGTTGCTGTCCGATGGGAGATGTTGTCATCGCCAAGAGGTCTGTGCGTGAAAGCAGAACGTGAGCGGTTTGATGATTTGTTTTCATTGCAGACGACGTGGATCCGATGTTGATGATGACTACGATGATGATGAGTACGATGACGACGACGATGATGACTAGGATGACAATGACTATGGTGATGACTATGATGATGACGATGATGACTCCAATGACAATGACTAGGGTGCCAACTACGGTGATGACGATGATGATGACTACGCTGACTTTGACTCTGGTGACAACTACGGTGACAACTACGATGACGATGATGATGACTACGATGATGACTATGATGATGACGATGATGACGACTACGATGACGACTACGATGATGATGATGACTACGATGATGATGAGTACGATGACGATGATGATGACTACGATGATGACTATGATGATGACGATGATGACGACTACGATGACGACTACGATGATGATGACGACTACGATGATGATGACGACTACGATGATGATGAGTACGATGACGACGATGATGACTAGGATGATGACTATGATGATGACGATGATGACGACTACGATGACGACTACGATGATGATGACGACTACGATGATGATGGTGATGACTACGATGATGATGAGTACGATGACGACGATGATGACTAGGATGACAATGACTATGGTGATGACTATGATGATGATGATGACGACTACGATGATGACGACTACGATGATGACGACTACGATGATGATGACTACGATGATGACGACTACGATGACAATTGATGATGACGACTGCGATGATGATGATGATGACTACAATGATGATGATGATGATCACTACGATGATGATGATGACTACGATGATGATGATGATGACGACTACGATGATGATGACGACTACGATGATTATGATGATGATGACGACTATGATGACGACTACGATGACGCTTGTGATGACGACTGCGATGACGATCACGCACGGACCCACCAGAACTGCAAGCACGCCGTCGATGTCTGCGGAGCGAGCCACTGGCTGATGAGGCTGGCCGCCACGCCATTCACCGACCCGCGGATGTAGTAGCCTGCAGTTCCGGGCACACACAAAGACAGCCTTTAATAGACTGCCGGGGCAAGTGTTGCTTGCGAGCAGGTCACCGATGGAGGCCGTAACGGCTCATGAGGAGGGTGGCTGTGGCGGGCATCACCCCCGGGCAGATCGCGACAGGCACTCAGTTTTAAGGCCGAGTATACCTAGGGGGGAGAGGCCCGGGGGCCGGTGCAGATGATCGTCACCGGCGTTGTCGGTAGCCGTGAGCGGGATTCGAACCCCGGGTCTCTGTCGTGGTCGCACGCTACCGCTCCTCATACGACAAAGACAAAGGTCCCCCGTATAGTCTTAACAAGGCTGTTGGGGCAAGTGCTGTTAGCGGTGTAGCACCTATGAAGGCCGGAAGGGCGCACAAGCGAGTGGGTTGCCAGCACCACGCCCGACCGCCTTTTTCTCCCCGGCGGCGATGTTTACACATCACACCAGGTTCATCATTTGAGGCCGAGTCGACCTAGGGGAGGCCCAGGACCGGTGCAGATAATCGCCGCTTTTATTTGGTCATGAGCGGGAATGGAATTTCGGGGTTACCGGGACTCGTAGTGCAGTGAGAGTCTCTGGGTCACTGCGTTCGGCACACCACATCCAGTATACTATAGCCCCGACACATCCCCCCCCAAGGCGACCGGAGCACCACCCCCAAGGCTACCGGAGCACCACCACCAAGGCCACCGGTGCACCACCCCCAAGGCCACCGAAGCACCACCACCAAGGCCACCGGTGCACCACCACCAAGGCCACCGAAGCACCACCCCCAAGGCCACCGGTGCCCGCCGCCCGCGTCGTTACCGGTGGCATCGCCGACGGTGTGGTCCGCGTTTGGGCCGGTGCCCTGTGGGCTGCTGGGGCCCCTCAGGCGCTCCCAGTCGGCGCTGTCGTAGGGGTCCTGCTCCCAGTAGCACCAGCCCGACTCGAACGTGCAGTCGATGAGCTCCTTGTCTGCACACAGACACAGGGCATGTGAGTGAGCAGGTGAGCGGGCGAGTGGGTTGGGTGGTTGCGTGTGTTGGGTGGGTGAGTGAGCTAGTGGGTGAGTGGGCGGGTGAGTGAGCGGGTGAGTGAACAAGTGGGTGAGTGGGTGGTTGAGTACTCGTTAGTCCGGAAAAGTCTATCGCGGTGAACGGAGTGAGCGGGTGAGTGAGTGGGTGAGTAAGTGAGCGGGTGAGTAAACTAGTAGGTGAGTGAGCGAGTGGGTGAGTGAGTGGGTGAGTGAATGATTGAGTGAGTGGGTGAGTAAGCGGGTGAGTGAGTAAACTAGCAGGTGAGTGAGCGAGTGGGTGAGTGAGCGGGCGAGTGAGTAAACTAGCAGGTGAGTGAGCGAGTGGGTGAGTGAGTGGGTGAGTGAGTGAGTGGGTGAGTAAGCGAGCGGGTGAGTAAACTAGCATGTGAGTGAGCGAGTGAGTGAGCGAGTAGGTGGTTGGTGAAGTACTTGTGAGGCCGGAGGTTAGTGGGCAGGTGAGCAGGTGAGCGGTCAATGGATACCCATCGTCAATGATATGCATTCATTAATCCCCCCCCCACTTAGCTTAAGAAAAGCACACAAGTGACGTCATCACACCTACCACCTCTGTTTAAGGAGCGGAACAGGGGGAGGGGTTCTCCACAAATCTGCCTGCCGTCCGCCTGATGGTGCCGGTTGTAGTTTAGTGGCGAAACGTCACGGGGCTCAGATTGTAAATGTTGTGGATTTGTTCTGACAACACACACCCGGTTAGTGCTGTACTAGTATACTACACTATACACTACACTATACACTACACTATAGAATATACTACTATACACTACACTATACACTACACTATACGATATACTACACTATGCACTACACTATAGAATATACTACTGTACACTACACTATACACTACACTATATACTACACTATACACTATACTACACTATACACTACACTATACACTACACTATACACTAGTGCTGTACTAGTATACTACACTATACACTACGCTATAGAATATACTACTATACACAATACACTACACTATACAATATACTACTATACACTACACTATACACTACTATACACAATACACTGCACTATACAATATACTACTATACACTACACTATACACTACACTATATACTACACTATACACTGCACTATAGAATATGCTACTATACACTGCCCTATACACTACACTATATACTACACTATACATTACACTATACAATATACTACTATACACTACACTATACATTACACTATACACTACACTATACAATATTCTACTATACACTACACTATACACGACACGACTATACACAATACACTACACACTAGTGCTGTACTAGTATACTACACTATACACTACACTATACACTACACTATACACTACACAATACACTACACTACACACTACACTATACACTACACTATACACTACACTATACACTACACTACATGCTAGTGCTGTACTAGTAACGAATTGGCCACGTTCTGTTTACGTGAAACGCCCTCTTACGAGTTGGCCGTGTCGGGTGGTGGCCGGTTTAATGACACAACATTTATACACTTACGTGATCTTACCCAAACCACGTGATCTCACCCAAACCACGTGATCTCACCCAAACCACGTGATCTCACCCAAACCACGTGATCTCACCCAAACCACGTGATCTCACCCAAACCACGTGATCTCACCCAAACCACGTGATCTCACCCAAACCACGTGATCTTACCCAAACCACGTGATCTCACCCAAACCACGTGATCTCACCCAAACCACGTGATCTCACCCAAACCACGTGATCTCACCCAAACCACGTGATCTCACCCAAACCACGTGATCTCACCCAAACCACGTGATCTCACCCAAACCACGTGATCTCACCCAAACCACGTGATCTCACCCAAACCACTTGATCTCACCCAAACCACGTGATCTCACCCAAACCACTTGATCTCACCCAAACCACGTGATCTCACCCAAACCACTTGATCTCACCCAAACCACGTGATCTCCCCCAAACCACGTGATCTCACCCAAACCACGTGATCTCACCCAAACCAACACCTCTGTGCTACGAGCGGTAGAAGAGTGATAAGAGAGCGACTGACCACTGGCGAGCGAGCGAGCGGCCGGAGCGAATCAGAGAGTGGTGGATGACGACGATGATGACGACGAATATGACGTCGATGACGACGATCGTGACGATGATCGTGACGATGACCACGATGACCACGATGATGACGACGAACGCGACGTCGATCGCGACGTCGATGACGACGATCGTGACGACGACGACAATGATGACGACGAATACAACGTCGATGACGACGATCGTGACGATGGCGACAATGATGACGACGATCGTGACGATGACGACGATGACGACGAACGCAACGTCGATGACGACGATCGTGACGATGACGACGATGATGACGACGTCGACGACGACGTCGATGACGACGATCGTGACGACGATGACGTCGATGACGACGTCGATGACGACGATCGTGACGACGACGATGATGACGACGTCGATGACGACGTTGATGACGACGATCGTGACGACGACGATGATGACGACGATCGTGACGATGACGACGATGACGACGATCGTGACGATGACGACGATGACGACGATCGTGACGACGACGACGACGATGGGTAACGCTCAGCGGCGGCGGCGACGACGTACTGGAGACGTCTCCGTAGAAGAAGGAGCTGTAGTGAGCGGAGAAGCCGCTGCTGTTGAGGCTGACGTCGCTGGAGAACTCCACCGTGGTGACGTTGGAGAAGATCCGCACCAATCCGGGGTTCTCGGTTCCCGTGAGCGAAGCTGAGTTGGGGGGGGGGTGGGGGGGTGGGGGTGGGGGGGGGGTGGACAATTCTTAATGGCCGGCCACGTCCAGGTCTCGACCCAGGCCCCGGGGCAACCCGGAACGCCACGTCCGACGCGACGCTTGCGATGTCTACGGCTGGACTGCGGCAGTGAGTTGGTTAGTTTGTGTGTTCTTTCCTTCTGCCAATGGGCATCACCACCACCGCCGTCACCACCACCAGCGAACATCACCAGCGAACATCACCGGCATCACCACCATCACCACCACCATCACCACCACCGTCACCACCACCATCACCACCACCGTCACCACCACCGTCACCACCACCATCACCACCACCACCACCGTCACCACCACCGTCACCACCACCATCATCACCACCACCACCACCACCGTCACCACCACCACCGTCACCACCACCATTATCGCCACCGTCACCGCCACCGTCACCACCACCATCACCACCATGCGCACCACCACCGTTACCACCACCATCACCGCCATCGTCACTACCACCTTCACCACCACCGTCACCACCACCGTCACCACTACCACCGGCACCACCACCGTCACCACCACCGTCACCATCACCGCCACAGTCACCACCACCACCGTCACCACCACCATCACCACCACCGCCACCACTGTCACCACCACCACCGTTACCGTCACCACCACCATTACCACCACCATCATCACCACCATCGTTACCACCACCGTCACCACCACCACGACCGCCACCACCACCACCACGGCCACTCACCTCTCAGCAGCATGTCCTCTCCCAGTCCACTGTAGATGCGTAGGAAGTCGTAGTTGAACTCCACGCTGAAGGCGGAGAACGTGAAGTCGATGGCGTGACCCTGGGGGACCCTGCACACAGCACGTGGCAGTGAGGGACGCGGTGACACGGAGAGAGACACGGGGAGAGACACGGAGAGAGACACGGGGAGAGACACGGTGACATGGTGAGAGACACGGGGAGAGACACGGTGACATGGTGAGAGAGACACGGTGAGAGACACGGTGAGAGACACGGTGAGAGACACGGGGAGAGACACGTTGAGAGACACGGTGACATGGCGATAGACACGGTGAGAGAGACACGGTGAGAGTGACACGGTGAGAGACACGGTGAGAGTGACACGGTGAGAGAGACACGGTGAGAGAGACACAGTGAGAGACACACGGTGAGAGAGACACGGTGAGAGAGACACGGTGAGAGACACGGTGAGAGACACGTTGAGAGACATGGTGAGAGGGACACGGTGAGAGAGACACGTTGAGAGACACGGTGAGTGACACGGTGAGTGACACGGTGACATGGTGAGAGACACGGTGAGAGACCCGTTGAGAGACACGGTGAGCCCCTTCTCTACTCTTGACGATGACGACGACATCGACAATGGCACCGACATTAATAATGATGACGCCGATGCTGACGCCGATGCTGATGATGACGACGATGGCGACTCACTGTATGATCCAGCGGCAGTTCGTATTGTCCTCGTAGTTCTGGGGGTGGTTGATGGAGTGGAAATCTCCCGACGTCTCCGTGAAGAGGAAATTGTCATCGCAGCCCGAAGCTGAATCAGAAGAATCGGGGAGTTGATCTTTCATCGACTTAAGCTCACTCGCTCGCTCACTCATCCACTCAGTCGTCCACCCTCTCATCTCAACCACTCCACCCACTCTCTGTGTGCCCATCTCTCTCTCTGTGTGTGCCCATCTCTCTCTGTGTGCCCATCTCTCTCCTCGTGCCCATCTCTCTCTGTGTGCCCATCTCTCTCACTGTGTGCCCATCTCTCTCTCTCTGTGTTCGTCTCTCTCCCCGTGCCCATCTCTCTCACTGTGCCCATCTCTCTGTGTGCCCAACTCTCACTGTGCCCATCTCTCTCTGTGTTCGTCTCTCTCACTGTGCCCATCTCTCTCACTGTGCCCATCTCTCACTGTGCCCATCTCTCACTGTGTGCCCATCTCTCTCCCCGTGCCCATCTCTCTCCCCGTGCCCATCTCTGTGTGCCCATCTCTCTCTCTCTGTGCCCATCTCTCTCTCTCTGTGTGCCCGTCTTTCTCCGTGCCCATCTCTCTCCCCGTGCCCATCTCTCTCTGTGTGCCCATCTCTCACTGTGCCCATCTCTCTCCGTGCCCATCTCTCTCTCTGTGTGCCCATCTCTCTCACTGTGCCCATCTCTCTCTGTGCCCATCTCTCTCCGTGCCCATCTCTCTCACTGTGCCCATCTCTCTCTCTGTGTGCCCATCTCTCACTGTGTGTGCCCATCTCACTCTCTCTGTGCCCATCTCTCACTGTGCCCATCTCTCACTGTGCCCATCTCTCACTGTGCCCATCTCTCACTGTGTGTGCCCATCTCTCTATGTGTGTGCCCATCTCTCACTGTGCCCATCTCTCTCTGTGTGCCCATCTCTCTCTGTGCCCATCTCTCTCTCTGTGCCCATCTCTCACTGTGCCCATCTCTCTCTGTGTGCCCATCTCTCTCTGTGCCCATCTCTCTCTCTGTGCCCATCTCTCTCCCCGTGCCCATCTCTGTGTGTCCATCTCTTTCTCTGTGCCCATCTCTCTCTCTCTGTGTGTGCCCGTCTTTCTCCGTGCCCATCTCTCTCCCCGTGCCCATCTCTCACTGTGCCCATCTCTGTCACTGTGCCCATCTCTCTCTCTGTGTGCCCATCTCACTGTGCCCATCTCACTATGCCCATCCCTCTCTGTGTGCCCATCTCTCTCACTGTGCCCATCTCTCTCTGTGCCCATCTCACTGTGCCCATCTCTCTCTCTGTGTGCCCATCTCACTGTGCCCATCTCACTGTGCCCATCTCTCTCTGTGCCCATCTCACTGTGCCCATCTCACTGTGTGCCCATCTCTCACTGTGTGCCCATCTCTCTCACTGTGCCCATCTCTCTCTGTGCCCATCTCACTGTGCCCATCTCTCTCTCTGTGTGCCCATCTCTCTCACTGTGCCCATCTCTCTCTGTGCCCATCTCACTGTGCCCATCTCTCTCTCTGTGTGCCCATCTCACTGTGCTCATCTCACTGTGCCCATCTCTCTCTCCGTGCCCATCTCTCTCACTTTGCCCATCTCTCACTGTGTGTGCCCATCTCTCTCTGTGCCCATCTCTCTCTGTGCCCATCTCTCTCTCTGTGCCCATCTCTCACTGTGTGCCCATCTCTCTCCCCGTGCTCATCTCTGTGTGCCCATCTCTCTCTCTGTGTGTGCCCGTCTTTCTCCGTGCCCATCTCTCTCCCCGTGCCTATCTCTCTCCGTGTGCCCATCTCTCACTGTGCCCATCTCTCTCACTGTGTGCCCATCTCTCTCTGTGTGCCCATCTCTCTCCGTGCCCATCTCTCTCCGTGCCCATCTCTCACTGTGCCCATCTCTCTCTGTGCCCATCTCTCTCTGTGCCCATCTCCCCGTGCCCATCTCTCACTGTGCCCATCTCTCTCCGTGCCCATCTCTCACTGTGCCCATCTCTCTCTGTGCCCATCTCTCTCTCACTGTGCCCATCTCTCTGTGTGCCCATCTCTCTCTGTGTGCCCATCTCTCTCTCTCTGTGTGCCCATCTCTCTGTGTGTGCCCATCTCTCTGTGTGTGCCCATCTCTCTGTGTGTGCCCATCTCTCTCCGTGCCCATCTCTCACTGTGCCCATCTCTCTCTGTGTGCCCATCTCTCTGTGTGTGCCCATCTCTCTCCGTGCCCATCTCTCACTGTGCCCATCTCTCTCTCTCTGTGTGCCCATCTCTCTGTGTGTGCCCATCTCTCTCCGTGCCCATCTCTCACTGTGCCCATCTCTCTCTGTGTGCCCATCTCTCTGTGTGTGCCCATCTCTCTCCGTGCCCATCTCTCACTGTGCCCATCTCTCTCTGTGTGCCCATCTCTCACTGTGTGTGCCCATCTCTCCCCGTGCCCATCTCTCTCTGTGCCCATCTGTGCCCATCTCTCTCTCACTGTGCCCATCTCTCACTGTGCCCATCTCTCTCTGTGTGCCCATCTCTCTCACTGTGTGTGCCCATCTCTCTCTCTGTGCCCATCTCTCCCTGTGCCCATCTCTCTCTCTGTGTGCCCATCTCTCTCTGTGTGCCCATCGCTCTCTCTGTGTGCCCATCTCTCACTGTGCCCATCTCTCTCTCTCTGTGCCCATCTCTCTCTCTGTGCCCATCTCTCACTGTGCCCATCTCTCACTGTGCCCATCTCTCTCACTGTGTGGGTTCTCTCTCTGTGCCCATCTCTCTCTCTGTGCCCATCTCTCTCCCCGTGCCCACGTCTCCCCGCGCCGGCGTGCCTCACCGCAGTCGGCCTCGTCGGTTTTGTCGGCGCAGTTCTGCACGCCGTCGCAGATGGCACGGGGGCGGACGCACGTCACCGCATCGCACGACAGCTCCCCGGGACCGCACGCCGCTACGCAGGGGCCGGGAGGCAGAGCACGAGCGGGGGAGAGGGGGGGAGAGGGGGGGGAGAGGGGGGGGAGAGACAGGGAGGGGAGAGAGGGGGGGGGAGAGAGGGGGGGGAGAGGGGGGGGGGAGAGGGGGAGAGACAGGGAGGGGAGAGGGGGGGAGAGGGTGGGGAGAGAGGGGGGGAGAGACGGGGGGGGGGAGGGGTAGAGACAGGGTGGGGAGAGAGGGGTGGAGAGGGTGGGGAGAAAGGGTGGGGAGAGAGGGGGGGTGGGGGGAGAGGGGGGGGTAGAGACAGGGTGGGGAGAGATGGGGGGGAGAGAGGGGGGGAGAGACAGGGGGGAGAGAGGATGATGTCGATGACGTTGACGATGATGTCGATGACGTTGACGATGATGTCGATGACGATGACGATGATGTCGATGACGTTGACGATGATGTCGATGACGTTGACGATGATGTCGATGACGATGACGATGATGTCGATGACGTTGACGATGATGTCGATGACGATGATGTCGATAATGATGACGATGATGTCGATGACGTTGACAATGATGTCGATAATGATAACGATGATGTCAATGACGATGATGAAGACGATGAGGATGATGGCAACGATGATGAAGATGATAACGACGACGACGATGATGACAATGACGACGATGACGATAACGACGATGACGACGATGACGACGACGACGACGATGATGTCGATGATGAAGACAATGAAGATGATGGCAACGATGATGAAGATGATGTCCATCATGATGACGATGATGACGACGACGACGATGATGGCGACGATGAGGATGACGACGACGAGACGAGAGTGTGGTGTCTGCGATCGACACAAAAACCGAAGGATCCAACGAACGGAACGCATCGCCCGGAATTCCTGACCAAACCTCAACCAGGAGGGAGGGAGGGGGGGCTAAGGGAGGGGGGCTGGCAGAGAGGGATGCTTGTGGTGGTGGCGGTGGTGGTGGCGGTGGTGGTGGCAATGGTGGTGGTGGTGGTGGTGGCGGTGCTGATGGTGATGGCGGTGGCTGTGGTGGTGGTGGTGGTGGCGGTGCTGATGGTGGCGGCAGTGGTGGCGATGGTGGTGGCGGTGGTGGTGGTGGCGGTGGTGGTGGTGGCGGTGGTGGTGGTGGTGGTGGTGGTGGCGGTGGTGGTGGTGGTGGTGATGGTGGTGGCAGTGGTGGCGATGGTGGTGGCGGTGGTGGTGGTGGCGGTGGTGGTGGTGGTGGTGGTGATGGCGGTGGCTGTGGTGGTGGTGGTGGCGGTGCTGATGGTGGCGGCGGTGGCGATGGTGGTGGCGGTGGTGGTGGTGGCGGTGGTGGCGATGGTGGTGGTGGTGGCGGTGGTGGGGGTGGTGGCGGTGGTGGTGGTGGTGGTGGTGCTGATGGTGGTGGCGGCAGTGGTGGCGATGGTGGTGGTGGTGGCGGTGGTGGCGGTGGTGGCGATGGTGGTGGTGGTGGCGGCGGTGGTGGTGGTGGTGGCGGTGGTGGTGGTGGTGGCGGTGCTGATGGTGATGGCGGTGGCTGTGGTGGTGGTGGTGGTGGCGGTGCTGATGGTGGCGGCAGTGGTGGCGATGGTGGTGGCGGTGGTGGTGGTGGCGGTGGTGGTGGTGGTGGTGGTGGTGGTGGCGGTGGTGGTGGTGGCGGTGGTGGTGGTGGTGGTGGTGGTGGCGGTGGTGGTGGTGGTGGTGGTGGCTGTGGTGGTGGCGGTGCTGATGGTGATGGCGGTGGCTGTGGTGGTGGTGGTGGTGGCGGTGCTGATGGTGGCGGCAGTGGTGGCGATGGTGGTGGCGGTGGTGGTGGTGGCGGTGGTGGTGGTGGTGGTGGTGGTGGTGGTGATGGTGGTGGCGATGGTGGTGGCGGTGGTGGTGGTGGCGGTGGTGGTGGTGGTGGTGGTGATGGCGGTGGCTGTGGTGGTGGTGGTGGCGGTGCTGATGGTGGTGGCGGCGGTGGCGATGGTGGTGGCGGTGGTGGTGGTGGCGGTGGTGGCGATGGTGGTGGTGGTGGCGGTGGTGGTGGTGGTGGCGGTGGTGGTGGTGGTGGTGGTGCTGATGGTGGTGGCGGCAGTGGTGGCGATGGTGGTGGTGGTGGCGGTGGTGGCGGTGGTGGCGATGGTGGTGGCGGCGGTGGTGGTGGTGGTGGCGGTGGTGGTGGTGGCGGTGCTGATGGTGGTGGCGGCGGTGGTGGCGGTGGTGGCGATGGTGGTGATGGTGGTGGCGGTGATGGCGGCGGCGGTACCCTGCGATTGGATGGACTCGATCCAGGAGGAGAAGGAGGTGACGCGCGTGAAGACGTCATAGTTGACGGAGCACAGGCCTTCCGAGTCGACCATGCCCCAGCTGGTGATGCCCGCCAGGTACCAGCGCCCGTCGAACCGCTGGCACACGAGCGGCCCGCCGCTGTCTCCCTGCGGTTAGAACAGGGAGACGGCTCCATCCCTCGGGCGGGAGGACGGGCGTGCGTGCGGCCCGGTGGGGAACGGGCGTGCGGCCAAGTGGGCGAGCGGGCAAGTGAGTGGCCAAGTGGGCGAGCGGGCGAGTGGGTGAATGAGTGGGCGAGTGAGCTGGCGGTTGAGTGATAGGGTGAGCAAGTGGGTGGCCGAGTGGATGAATGAGGGGGCGATTGAGTGGGTGTGTGACCAATTGAGTGGGTGGTTGAGTGACAGGGTGAGTGAGTGAGCGGGCGAGTGGCTGTGTCGGCGAGCGAGTGGGTGAATGAGGGGGCGATTGAGTGGGTGGGTGGGTGGGCGAGCGAGTGAGCGAGCGGTTGAGCATGCCAGCGAGTGGCCGAGCGGGTGAGCGAGCGGTTGGGCAAGCCAGCGAGTGGGCGAGCGAGTGCGTGAATGAGAGGGCAATTGAGTGGGTGGGTGGCCGAGCGGGTGAGCTTGCCAGCGAGTGGCTGGGCGGGTGAGCGAGCAGGTGAGCGAGCGGGTGAGCGGGCGCTCGTGGCTACTCACGGAGCACACGCCGGCGTGCCCGGCCTTGTAGGCGGCGCAGATCATCCTGGGCGACACATTCCCCCCGTGGATCGACTCGTTGCACAGCTGCTGGTTCATGATGGGGATGCGCAGCTCCTGCAGAACTCTGGGCAGTAAGCCTGCAGCACGCACACATCGGTGGGGGGGGGGGGGGGGGGTCCACTCACTCGCTCCGTTGCACCGATTGCACGGGCAGCAGCAGCAGGAGCAGCAGCAGCAGCAGCAGCTGTGTGGGTATTCTCCGGGTGACCGCCAACCCTCGCTGCCGCGTCCATGCATGCCACGCCACCGCCTCCACCGCTGCCGAAACCACTGCCACCTAACGCCGCCACTGCCAACACCGCCTCAGCCGCCACTACCAACACCGCCACCGCAACTGCCGCCAACACCGCCACCACAACCAAAGCCTCAGCCACCACCGCCACCACAGCCACCACGGCCACCGCGGCCGCAGCCACAACCACCGCCGCCGCAACCGCCGCCAGCTCACCGGTGCCGTCCTTGCCCCAGCCGGTGGTGAAGCAGAGCTCGCCGTCGTTGAAGACAAAGTCGCCGGAGGGGAGGCACGCCGGCCCCACCAGGCCCGAGGCCTTCACCGGCACAAGGCACACAGACAAGGGTCGCCCGCGTGGCCTTGACGGGCTGCCGGGGCGCAAGCGCCCGTCGCGATCTAGCGGGCCACGGCACGCTAGGGCCGTGTGGGGTGGGTGGCCGGCGGCCGCCGCCCGGCCGGCCGGCCGGCCGCCTTTGTCTTTCCCGGCGGCGGCGTTTATTAAGACGCCGCCACCGGGGCAACTCATTTGAGGCCAAGTCGACCTGGCGGAGGCCCGGAGCCCGTTCAGATCATTTGTCGCCAGCCATAGACTCGCACAGAGACCCATAGATTAACATAGAGACCCATAGACTCGCACAGAGACCCATAGCTTAACATAGAGACCCATAGATTAACATAGAGACTGTAGAGTTGCATAGAGACCCATAGCTTAACATAGAGACCCATAGATTAACATAGAAAATTGAGAGTTGCATAGAGAACCATAGACTCGCACAGAGACCCATAGATTAACATAGAGACCCATAGACTCGCACAGAGACCCATAGCTTAACATAGAGACCCATAGATTAACATAGAGACTGTAGAGTTGCATAGAGACCCATAGCTTAACATAGAGACCCATAGATTAACATAGAAAATTGAGAGTTGCATAGAGAACCATAGACTCGCACAGAGACCCATAGATTAACATAGAGACTGTAGAGTTGCATAGAGGCCCATAGACTCGCACAGAGACCCATAGATTAACATAGAGGCTGTAGAGTTGCATAGAGACCCATAGACTCGCACAGAGACCCATAGATTAATATAGAGACTGTAGAGTTGCATAGAGACCCATAGACTCGCACAGAGACCCATAGCTTAACATAGAGACTGTAGAGTTGCATAGAGACCCATAGACTCGCACAGAGACCCATAGATTAACATAGAGACTGTAGAGTTGCATAGAGACCCATAGACTCGCACAGAGACCCATAGATTAACATAGAGACTGTAGAGTTGCATAGAGACCCATAGACTCGCACAGAGACCCATAGATTAACATAGAGACTGTAGAGTTGCATAGAGAACCATAGACTCGCACAGAGACCCATAGATTAACATAGAGACTGTAGAGTTGCATAGAGACCCATAGACTCGCACAGAGACCCATAGATTAACATAGAGACTGTAGAGTTGCATAGAGACCCATATACTCGCACAGAGACCCATAGATTAACATAGAGACTTGAGAGTTGCATAGATGGAGAGGTGTAAGTGGTGATGGGGGGGGCGGTCGACGTGGGGGGCGGTGGAGATGGGGGGTGGAGGTGGGGGATGGAGGTGGGGGGTGGAGGTGGTGGTGAGGGTGGTGGTGGGGGGGTGGTGGAGGTGGGGGGGTGGTGGAGGTGGGGGGGTGGTGTGGGGTGGTGGTGGTGGAGGCGAAGGCCGAGACGCGACGGATGATGCCGTAAGTCCCAGCGACGAACGAGCGAGTGAGCGCATGAGTGAGTGAGTGTGTGAGAGAGTGAGTGTGTGAGTGAGCGAGTGAGTGTGTGAGAGTGTGTGTGAGTGCGTGAGTGAGCGCGTGAGTGAGTGAGCGCGTGAGTGTGTGAGTGAGTGAGTGTGTGAGTGAGCGCATGAGTGTGTGAGTGAGCGAGTGCGTGAGCACGTGAGCGAGTGAGTGTGTGAGCGCGTGAGCGCATGAGTGAGTGAGTGTGTGAGGGTGTGAGTGAGTGAGCGTGTGAGTGAGTGAGTGTGTGAGTGAGTGAGTGAGCGAGTGAGTGTGTGAGCGAGTGAGTGAGCATGTGAGTGAGCAAGTGAGTGAGAGAGAGAGTGAGCCAGTGAGTGAGCGTGTGAGTGAGCGTGCGAGTGAGTGAGCGTGTGCGTGCGTGAGCGAGCGAGCGCGTGCGTGGGAACGAGAGGGAGTTGAGATAAGAGGAGGGTGGGTGGCAGCGGTGGGTGCCGGCGGCTGACCGTGACGCCGCCCTCCAGCGGGCTGGCGAGGCGCACGAGGCCCACGTCGTAGTCCAGGGCCGTGGAGCTGCACGCGGCGCTGCCGTAGCACGGGTGGGGCAGAAGGGCGCGGACCGGCCGCACCACGGCGCCCGCCGGCACGCTGCCCGACACCGAGTCCAGAGTGCCCAGCACCACCTGCAGGGAGGTGGGGTCACTGCGAGGGGAGGGTGGGGGGAGGGAGGGAGGGAGGGTGGGAGGGGGGGAGGAGGGGGGGGGAGGAGGGAGAAAGGGGGGGAGAGAGGAAGGGAGGGAGGGAGGGAGGGAGGGAGGGAGGGGGGAGAGAGGGAGGGAGGGAGGGAGGGAGGAGGGGGGAGAGAGGGAGGGAGGGAGGGAGGGAGGGAGGGAGGGAGGGAGGGAGGGAGGGAGGGAGGGAGGGAGGGAGGGAGGGAGGGGGGAGAGAGGGAGGGAGAAGAAAGGGGGGAGGAGGGGGGAGAGAGGGAGGGAGAGAGAAAGGGGGGAGGGAGGGAGGGAGGAGGAGGAGGAGGAAGGGGGAAGGGAGGGAGGGAGAGGGGAGGGAGGGTGGGAGAAAGGTGGGAGGGAGGGAGGAGGAGGAAGGGAGGAGGAGGGGGGGAGGCAGGGGGGAGAGAGGGAGGGAGGAGGAGGGGGGAGGGTGGGAGGGAGGGAGGGAGGAGGAGGGGGGTGAGGGAGGGAGGGAGGGAGGGGGTAGGTAGATAAGTTATTCATGGCCAGGGGGTACCCCACGCAGGGTTAAGCGTCGAGCTGGGGACCCCGGAGCGTCACGGGCGTTGTGGGTCCTTGACAAGGACGACTCACGTGTTGACGATGCAGTGAGCGGCCGTCAGCAGCCACTCGTTGTCGATGAGCGAGGCGCCGCACCGATGCCTCCGTGCCACGGAGAGCGACGCCATCCAGGGCCAGCTGCCCGCCTTCGCCGGCTCTCCGTCTGAGTCGCACGCACGCAGAGCGGAGCGTGAGCGAGTGAGTGAGCAAGCGAGGACGAGTGTGAGCGAGTGTGAGTGAGTAGGTGAGCGAGGCTGAGCGTGAGTGAGGCTGAGCGTGAGTGAGTGTTGGTGAGTGTGAGTGAGTGAGTGAGCAGGCGAGGACGAGTGTGAGTGAGTGAGTAAGTGAGTGAGTGAGCGAGGATGAGTGTGAGTGAGTGTGAGCGAGTGAGTGAGTCCTGAGTGAGTGAGTGACTATGAGTGAGCGAGCGAGCGAGCGAGTGAGTCTGAGTGAGTGAGCGTG